CCTCCCCATCCTGCTGTGGAGCCGGGTGCTGGGTCAGTCAGCGTCTGGGCACAGCTGGGATGGGGATGGAGCAGCACTGTGGGTGCTCCAGGGGGCTCAGACCCCGGGGGATGTGAGCTGCAGCCAGAGGGCAGGGGAGAGGAGAATTCCCTTCCCTGTACTAAAGGGATTTGGGAGGTTTTTTTGGTTTTTCCTGCTGTGTGCTGGCAGGCCCCTGGCACTGCTGGGGCCTGTGCCTCGTGTGTTCCCTGCCTGACCCACAGCATCGAGGCTCCCCCTTTAATTATACCCTGGAGTTAATTAAAAGGCAAAGAGTATTTAGTAAGTGAAATCAGGATGCTGAAATGGGGATTGTTCTTGGAATGTTTTGTGCTGCTGGTGTGGAGAAGGGGTCAGGACAGGAGGTGCTGCTCGATGCACTGCTGTGCTCCTGGGCATTCCCACTGGTTTGGTGTGGAACCATGGAATGGTTTGGGAGGGACCTTAAATCCCACCCAGTTCCATGGGCAGGGACACCTTCCACTGTCCCAGGCTGCTCCAAGCCCTGTCCAACCTGGCCTTGGACACTTCCAGGGATCCAGGGGCAGCCACAGCTTCTCTGGGCAACCTGGGACAGGGCCTTCCTACCCTCACAAGGACGATCTGCTTCCCAATATCCCATTTTTCCCTGCCCTCTGGCACTGGGAAGCCATTCCCCCTTGTCCTGGCACCCTTGGCACCCTCTTCCTCCTGCATCCTGGGAGATCCTGGCACCCCAATGCCTTCTTTGGTGTACTCGTATTTGCCCCATGAGATGATCTGTTTCCCCTTGGATGTCCTGGTTCCCCCAGTCCCCCGTGCTGGGGGTGGGTCTGTGTCCCGGGGCGAGGGGGTGATCTGAGGCTGTGATTTCCACCTTCACTTGTTTCACTTTCCCCGGCTGTATTCCCGCTCCTGCCCCGGGGGAATGGGTGTTCCCGGGGCATTCCCGGGTCCCCGGCAGGGCCTGTCTAACGTTCCTTCTGTTCCCTCCTCACGCAGCGCGGAGCGAAGCCCAAGAAGGTGCTGTGTGACCCGGGTGACCCCCGGGTGTGGGGCATGTGGGGCCATCGCCATCCTCCCCCGCCAGCCCGGCCATCCCAGCCCTGCATGGCTGCTCCCTGCATGCGCTCCCACATCCACAGGGCATCATGGAATGGTGGGGTGGGAGAGGCCTCGGAGACCCCCGAGCTCCCCCGGTACTGCCCAGGCCACCGCTGACCGTGTCCCCGAGTGCCACCTCTGCAGGGCTGTTAAATCCCCCGGGGCTGGGGGCTGCCCCTCTTCCAGTGCTTTACAACCCTTCCCATGAAGGAATTTTCTCGGTATCCAACCTGAACCTCCCCTGGCACAAGCTGAGGCTGTTCCCTTGTAGATATTTTTGTAAAACCCTCTGGTGACTCGGGGACAAGTGGCACCTTCTCAGGGCTGTCCCATCCTGTCCCTGGGCTCTGGCTCCTCTGGGGACACCCAAAACCAGCTGGTTTGGGACAATTAGTGAAGCCAAAAATATTTTGTACCAGGATGAGCCAGAACTCCAAAGGTCTTGGCAAAGAATCCTGGAATGGTTTGGGTTGGGAGGGATGTTAAAGCCCATCTCTTTTCATGCCCTGCTGTGGGCAGGGACACCAAATCACTATTCCCTGCAGGGTCTTTGGGGAATATTTTTTCCCCAAGGGAATCTTGCCAAGGTGAGCACTGCAGACGTGGAAAGGACCCGGCATGAGCACTGGGAGGGAGGGAGGAGGGGAGGGAGATGGTACCTGGAGCCCTGGGTGTCCCTTTGGCCCAGCTTTCCTTTCCGGCCGCTTCCGTGTCGATCTCTGGGGGAAGGAACGGTGCAAACAGCCCTGTTTGTCCATGGGAAATCCAGAGGTGAGGAGCAGTGTGGAAGCCCTCGGTGAAGGTGCAGAGAGCTCTGGAGTGGGCCAGGAGCACCTGCCCCAGGTGTCCCCTCCTCGTGTCCCCCCAGGTCCAGGTCTCTGCATGTCCCAAGGCTCCAGGGGCATGTGGGTCCCCTCATGCCAGTTCTGCCAGCTCCAAGGGGTGCCTGGCTGTCGGGGCTCTCCATGGCACGAAATTCCCATTTGGAATGCTGGGTTCTTCCCCTCCTGTCCTGCCCTGGTGGGTTTGCAGCTGCCGTGTGTCCCTGCTGTGTCCCTGCCGTCTGCTCAGAGCTGGGGCTGGGGGAGGGATTAGGATCATGGGGGTGTGACTGTCACTGCCCTGGGGATCTCTGACTGTCACTGCCCTGGGGATCTCTGACTGTCACTGTCCTGAGGATCATGGATCTGTCACTGCCCTGGGGATCTGTGACTGTCACTGTCCTGGGGATCATGGATCTGTCACTGTCCTGAGGATCATGGATCTGTACCTGTCCTGGGGATCATGGATCTGTACCTGTCCTGGGGATCATGGATCTGTACCTGTCCTGGGGATCTGGGGCTGTCACTGTCACTGGCCTGAGCCCAGTCCTGGCAGCTCACACAGGGCCGACCCCACCGAGGGACAGCCCAGTGCCAGGCTCTGCTGCCCCCTCGGAATTGAACATTTTTGGCCGTCGGTGACCCCGTGACCCGCCCCCCTCCAGCAGCCCCTCCCCAGCAGGGCGGTTCCAGCCGGGGGCAGCGGATAACGAGCGTAATTAGCGGGTAAATCCTCGTTCCGGGGATTATCAAATATAGACTCTAATCGTCCCCGGAGCTGCAGCCCTGGGGTGCCAGATGGGCCCCACTGCCCCGCCGTGCTCCCTCCCTGCTCTCCATGGGTTCGGGGCTGCTGGGGGCGGCTGGGGCCGGGGCAGAGGGGCCCCTGAGGTCATGATGGCCTTTGGGCTGTGCTGTTCCCAGGGCTTGGAGCAGGGGGGCAGCTCCAGGGGCACGGCGGGGGCTGCAGGACACTGGGGGTCCTGTCCCTTGGCTGTGACACCGTGTTGGGATGTCCTTGTTCTTGGAGCAGTGTCTCCAGGCAGGAGCTGGTGGCCCAGGCTGTCCCTGGGAGGTGCTGGCCTCTGTCCTGGGCCGGTCTGGTTGGGAAGGACCCCAAAGGGATCCCAAAGGGACCCCAGAGGGACCCCAGAGTCTGTTTAAAGAGCAGGAAGAGGGTGTTTCCTGGCTAGTTTTTGGGATGAAATGGGTTGTGAGTGCTTCATGCCTGTGTGACCTGAGATGTGAGTGACAGGCTGATCCCTTCTCCCGCTGCAGGGCTGGGTGACACTGGGTCACAGATGCCACCTCTCAGGGATGTGGAGGTGGCAGGGCCGTGGTGGGTCCTGGGTCACCCTGTGTGTGCCAGAGCAGGGCTGGGAATGGGGAGACTCCCAGGAATGCAGGGAAAGGCTGGTCCATGGCTCCTGCCTCGCTCAGGGCGTGTCAGGGTGGGCTCCCAGGCTCTGACACACTCTGGAATCACGGAATATTTAGGTTGGAAAAGCCCCCTGAGCCCACCAAGTCCAACCATTCCCCACTGACCATGTCCCCAAGTGCCACATCCACACGTGGCACGTGCCCAGTGCTGTCACCCTGGGGGTGGCTCCAGTCCTGTCCCCTCAGGTCACTGTCCCCTGCAGCCAGTTTGATCCCTGGGCTTTCCCCTCTGTGGGTCAGGTTTGTCCTGCCCCGGTGACATCCCTGTTCCTGTCACCCTCCCACCGGCATTCCGTGTGCCAGGGCTGGATTCCCAGCAGTGTGTGCTGGATCTCCCTCTCTGCTGGGCACCTGATCCCGCTCTGATCCCGCTCTGGTCCCACTCTGGTCCCGCTCTGGTCCCGTCCCGGGGTGACCAGCCGGTGGCCAGGTCGGTGGCCAGGTCATTATCCCGGTGTTATCCAGGTCTCCAGGCGGGAGCAGATGGCCCGTTCCAGCCCGGAGCAGGTCCCAGCTGGTCTGTTTAATGCAGATGGGCCACCCCAAGCCCTGTTAATCCTTTAAGGGAAGGACTAATCCGATCAGCTCCCAAAGCCGCCCCATCCCAGCTGCCCGAACCCTCCGATGGCAGGGCCTGGATGAACCCGGGAGCTGCTGTTCCTTGGGCCGGGTGACATCCCCATGGCAGCCCTCTGTGTCCCCAGGGGAGCTGGGGGTGAGATCCGAGGGGATTATTTTGGTGTTAATTGAGGGAAGGGCCCGTGACCCTTTGGAGTGGGGAGCTGAGCAGCACCTGGCACCACGAGCTGGGGGCTCCATGGAAAAGAGCTGGAGTTAACCCTGTCAGCTCCTCTCCAACCCCCCCAAGAGCCAGGAATCCTCTCAGCTGCAATGATGCCAAAAGCTGCTTCTCCCTTCTCGTGGATTTAGGATCAATAACCTCCCTTACGTGTCCCTGAGGGGTTTCAGGGGCAGCCCAAAGCATCCTACAGTGTTCTCCCGATGGTAAATTGCATTTCCTCACTGCTGCAGCATGTACTGGATCCTGGATGTGGGAAGGGCTTATATAGTCTGGATTTAGGGAGTGGAGCTGTGTGTGAGGAGAGGAGCTGGTTCATTAGAGCAGCTCTAATATCCTTAATTATCTTAAGGTTAAATCCGGGTGAGCCTGCACGTGGCTCCCCCAGGGATGGACACGGCCCTTGGATCACTCAGGCTTACGGCCACGGAGCCAGGGTGCTTTTGTCTGGAAAAGCCCAGTAAGTGGTTCCTTTTCCCTGTGGTTTGGGAACACCTTCCACTAGACCAGGTTGCTCCAAGCCCCATCCAACCTGGCCTTGGACACTTCCAGGGATCCAGGGGCAGCCACAGCTTCTCTGCCCAACCTGTGCCAGGGCCTGCCCACCCTCCCAGCCAGGAATTCCCTCCCAATATCCCATCTATCCCTGCCCTCTGGCAGTGGGAAGCCATTCCCTGTGTGCTGTCCCTCCCTGCCTTGTCCCCAGTCCCTCTCCAGCTCTCCTGGAGCCCCCTCAGGCCCTGCCAGGGGCTCTCAGCTCTCCCTGGAGCCTTCTCTTGTCCAGGGGAACCCCCCAGCTCTCCCAGCCTGGCTCCAGAGCAGAGGGGCTCCAGAATCCTGGAATGGTTTGGGTTGGAAGGGATTGTAAATCCCACTGATTCCAACTCCCTGCCGTGGCCAGGAACACCTTCCACTTAGCAGGTTGCTCCACGCCCTGTCCAGCCTGGCCTTGGACTCTTCCAGGCATCTGTGCCAGCTCCCAGAGCTGCTTGATTCCCTGATCCAGAGGTTATTCAGGAATCAGACCCCACCACAGATCAGTTGGGCACCGGGTGTCCCCATGTCATGGCAAACTGTGGGGCTGCCTCCAGGGAATGCCAGCCTGCTGGAGACAGGGGCCTTTAAAGGCTTTTTCCAGGATGTGGGAAGGATTGTGCCGAGGGTCTGGGATTGCAGGAGGTGAAATTCCCTCTGTGCGTGGAGGGTCAGGTGTGCAGGTGCTGCTGGAGGGGGACGGTGGTGCTGCAGGTGCCAGGCAGGAATTTGGGGTGTGGGCCTGGCAGAGCAGTGAGGCTTGGGGACATGGCAGTGAGGCTTGGGGACACGGCGGCTGGCTGATGTGCCGGGTGCCCAGCGCTCTCCACGGTGGCTCCTTGGGGCAGGGGATCTTTAGGGCTGGGATCCTCAGGGCTGGGATCTTTAGGGCTGGGATCTTTAGGGCTGGGATCCTCAGGGCTGGGATCTTTAGGGCAGGGATCCTCAGGGCTGGGATCTTTAGGGCTGGGATCTTTAGGGCTGGGATCCTCAGGGCTGGGATCTTTAGGGCTGGGATCTTTAGGGCTGGGATCCTCAGGGCTGGGATCTTTAGGGCTGGGATCCTCAGGGCTGGGATCTTTAGGGCTGGGATCTTTAGGGCAGGGATCCTCAGGGCTGGGATCTTTAGGGCTGGGATCTTTAGGGCTGGGATCTTTAGGGCTGGGATCCTCAGGGCTGGGATCTTTAGGGCAGGGATCCTCAGGGCTGGGATCTTTAGGGCTGGGATCTTTAGGGCAGGGATCCTCAGGGCAGAGATGCTCAGGGCAGGGGGTCTCCGAGGCCGTGGTGGTCTCTGCACACCCTCAGCCGTGCAGGGGTGCCCTGAGCTCCTGGGAATCCCCCCGTGTTGGCAGGAGGCGCTGGATGGGAGCGCGGCAGGATGGACGCGGCCCTGCAGCTGTCCGTGTGTCCATCTGTCCGTCCGTCAGGCTCAGTTCCGCCCGTGTGTCCATCTGTCCGTGCCCGGGGCTGTGCCCGGCGGTCCCGGCGGGGGCGGGTCGGCCCCGGAGCCGTCTGGACCCGCCGGCCGTGCCGGGGGTGCTGAGCCGCTGCAGACCCCCTTCCCGGGAGCGGCACCGCCGTGCCCATCCTCGCTCGCCATCCCGCTCATCCCATCGCCATCCGCGGCTCGAGCGGCGCCCGCCGGCGCGGCCCCTCCGCGGTGATGTCACGAGCCACCGGGGCGGTGGTTGGAGCCACCGCCGAGCGGGGACGAGCGGCCGCGGCCGGGGGGCTGCGCTGGACCCCCTGAGCCCCCGCCGAGCCCCCGCCGAGCCCTGCCGACCCCCCCGGCCCCCTCCCGAGCCCCCCGCAGGACCCGGCGGCGGCCGCGGCCATTTGCCGTGTCCGGCCGCGCTGACCCGCTGCTCCGGCTGCTCCCGCTCCGGCCGCTCCTCCGCCGCGATGAGACAGGCCCCGGCCACCCGCAAGGTACGGTCCGTGCCCGCAGCCCCCGCTCCCCCGGCCCCGCATCCTCCGGCCCCGCATCCCCCGGCCCCGCATCCCCCGGCACCGCGTCCTCCGGCATCGCATCCCCGGCATCGCATCCCCGGCATCGCATCCCCGCTCCCGACTCGCCTCCTCCCCTTTTTCCCCGTTTTCCCCGCGTTGATGCTGCCGGGCTGTAATTGGGAGCGTGACGGGCTCGGGGGGGCGGTGGGGGAGCAGCAGCAGCAGCAGCGGGTCATGGCTGGCTTTGCCTCCCGAGCTCCCGGGTCCCCTCGCCGAGTCTCCGGCCGTGCCCGCGGCGGATGCAGCGGCTCTGCGGCTCCGCCGGGGCCGTTCCCGGCCCTGTCCCTGCCTCCGGTGCCATCCCTGTCCCTGCTGCCGATGCCATCCCCACTGCCCCGGGGGTGCCGATGCCATCCCTGCTTCCAGGTGCCCACCCCGGGGAAGCTGCATGTCCACACTCCCGTTTTCCTGGCGCCGGGATCAGCCCCCGGCATTCCCGGGGGCCGGCGGTGCCCGGGTCCCTGCCAGGCTGCCGTTCCCGCAGGTGACAGCGCGGGCATGGCCTGTGTGTTTATTTTTAGCGTAACCAGGATGACACTGCTCAGCTTAAAGAGAAATCCTGGGAATTTCTGGCTGATGCCGGGGAACAGACCCGAGCTGGGCTGGCTGTGCCTGTACCTGGCAGTAAATGCTCCTGGTTTACACCTGCACGAGCTCAGACACCGACACACCTGGTCACGTGTCCCTGCTAATCCGCTTCCAAATGGAAAGTTTTAGGGATGCTGTTTCCCTCCTCCCCGGCAGAGCGGGAGCAGGGGCTGCCGGTGCTCAGCACCACACCTGGATTTCATCCTGCTTTTCCCGTTGTTCCTCCCCCTGCACACGGGATCACACCTGTGAGACTGGGCGTGGGCCGGGTGGTTGTTTGAAATGCAGAATTCCCGGGAATAGCCCAGGTAGCCACACCTTGAGGGGCTCGTCCTGCTGCAGGTTGTGTCTGGAGAGGGCTGGTCCAAAATTCCCGGGAGGTGAGTGGGATGGCATCCTGCCTGCTCGGGTGGGCAGCGTGGGCCTGCAGAGGGTCAGTTCCCAGGCATCACCTCCAGCACTGGCTGCCCTGCTCTGGAGCTGCTGCAGGAACCCTCCTGGAAATCCGGGGAATCCTTGGCAGCAGCAGCTGCGGTCTGGGAAGCTGAGCTTTTCCACATCAGGAACCCTCAAACCTCGTCCAGGAGGAGTGTTCAGTGGCTCCTCCCTGTCCTGCTGGAAGGTGACATTCACACAGACCTGCTCACCCACCCGGCGCTCGGTGTTCCCGCCTGGATCAGGATTCCCACCCTTGGAGCAGAACAAAGCCGGGAGGGACCTGCGGGACCCGCACCCCACGTTCAGCGGGCGATGCCAGCCCTGCCACAGGCAGTCTGTGCTATCCAGGAGGATTTCCAGGAGGATGTTTCCAGAGTTGCTGCTGCCAGGAGCCAAGTCCATCTTGGAGCCCCCGGCGCTCCCCAGGGATCGGAGGTTTTCTAATGGCATCACATATTGCTGCAGCAGCATTACACAGCAGAGCCCCGAGCCCTGAGCGGAACAGCGTTCCCAGAGGGGTGCTGGGAGCATCCCGGATCCAGGGGGCAGGTGTGCTTGGAGCATCTGCTCCCAGCACGACGCCGTAATCCAGAGAATCCACGTTCCACCCCGGTCACCGTCCTGCCAAGGGCTTCCCAGAGCCCAGGGGTGACTGCTGGTGCCAGCCGTGCCATGGGGACGGACAGATGGACAGGGACAGCCAGCACGGAGAGGAGGCCAGCCCTGATGGAGAGAGCAGCTGGAGCATCCCAGAGCTTCCCTCTGCCCCCTCTCCAAGGATCCCGGGGCTCTCAGAGCTTCAGCTTTTGGTGGTCTGCACGTGGAGGGGACCAAAGCCCCGGAGGAGGCCCAGAGCAGGATTACTCCCTGTCCTTCCACATGGGTTTAGGGATAGTTACCAGGAGGTTTCTCCCTGGCTTTAGGGTTCGGTGTGGTTTGAGGTGGGGTTTGAGTTGGAGTCCCCCCATCCCATGGCCCAGACAGGGCTTGGTGTCCCCCAGGACAGGACTCAGTGTCCCCAGGAAAAGGCTGGGTGTCCCCCCCTCATTGTCCCCCATCCCATGGCCCAGACAGGGCTCAGTGATCTCTGGTGACACTTCCCCGTGTCCAGGGACTCTGAGGTGGGTGTGGGACCCCCAGCCCTGCCCCACTGCGGGGGCTCCCGTGCCAACAGCACAGGGAGGGCACCGGGAGCACCGTGCCCAGCGTGTGTGGCAGGGAGCAGGGGCATCTCCAGGGGTGCAATCCCCAAGTGGTTTTCAGTTTTCCAAGGGTTTCCCAGATTTTTGTTGCTGCTCCATGTAATCAGTGCTCAGTCGGACTTCGGGAAGGTGCCAGAGTGCTCCTGAAGGGCTTCCTGAGCCAGCCCTGAGGGGTTGGAGTTTGCACTGTCGTCATTCCATTTTCCTGGCAGATTTGGCCACACAGATGCTGTGGAAGATGGGAATGTCTCCCTTGGGATTGAAATGGGTGTCCCGTGGAGTGCAGCCTTTGGGAAAAGGCTGGAAGTGAGCGGAGAAGAGATTAGCTGAAGGAATGCCAGAGGACATTTGGAAGTGAAAACACATCCAGGTTTATTCTGAAGAAAGAAAATCCAGTTCCGAGGTGTCCTGGGCCTCAGGGGGGCACGGCTGTGTTGGATATTGATCCCTGAGGGGCTCCCTGTGCCCCCTGTCCCGGCTGCATCCCGGGCTGGGATCGTGTGGCAGCACCATTATCCATCTGTTCTGTTCCTGGTTATTCCCAGCTGGGATTAGGTCATGGAATCAGAAATGAAGGACAATGTGGAAGGTTTGACACGTACTCCAAAGCTGCCTCTGGACAGATGTTCCCTCTGGCCACGCTGGGGGCTCCTGCCCATCCGCTGCCCCCCGGACCAGCCTCGCCACTCCCTCTTTGCCATCAGTTAGGGATTGTTTGTAATGGGAAAAATACTCATTCATTTAATATTTGTCTCCCCATGGCCTCCCCCCCTCTGAGCTGCTGCTGGGCACTGCTGCATGTGTGGGTGCATGGAGGGGGGGGTCCTGCTCCAAAGGCGTGGATGGTTTAATTCCAGCCATGGATGGAAAAGTTGGAAGTGTGGGAGCAGCTCTGTGATGTCCCTGGGATTTATGGTTAAAGAGTGCAGAGCCCTGGGGGCTCCAGGCCCTTTGGAAAACAGAGGGATGAGGGGAGGGAATAATCCTGTCTAAAATGAATCCCTTCAGCCTTCTGCTCCGGGGGCATCTGGGAAAGGTGTGGGGGGTCAAACCCCCTGTGCCCATGGAGCCTGGAGTGCCCTGCCAGCCTGGACCAGGCTGTGCCTCTGCAGATATAGATTCCTTGGAAATAAAGGTGGATGTGCCCCGGGGTGTCCCTGGGGTCGGGGTTCAGACAGTCCTCCCTGTCCCCAGCTCTGTCCCCACATGGGGCTGGAGGGGGAGAACAGGGCCGGGCTGGGGGGGAGCAGGGGCTGCTCTGGCTCTGGGCTCCCCTGGTCCCACGGGAGCTGTGCCAGGGGACCCCACGGGATCTGTGCCAGGGGGTCCCACGGGATCTGTGCCAGGGGGTCCCACGAGAGCTGTGCCAGGGGGTCCCACGGGATCTGTGCCAGGGGGTCCCACGGGAGCTGTGCCAGGGGGTCCCACAGGAGCTGTGCCAGGGGGTCCCACAGGAGCTGTGCCAGGGGGTCCCACAGGAGCTGTGCCAGGGGGTCCCACAGGATCTGTGCTGGGGGTCCCACGGGATCTGTGCCAGGGGACCCCACGGGATCTGTGCCAGGGGGTCCCACGGGAGCTGTGCCAGGAGGTCCACGGGATCTGTGCTGGGGGTTCCACAGGAGCTGTGCCGGGGGTCCCATGGCAGCTGTGCCTGCAGGTCCCCCCCCCGATGGCCTTGGGGGTGTGTTAACGAGCTCCCACCTGCTGCCAGCTCACTAACGATGCCGGGCTCAGCTGGTGCCGCCGGGCACTAACGATGCCGGGCACTAACGAGGCCGTGCTGTGTTTTGTCTCCTCTCCTGCTCTGCCGCCGCCGGCTGTTCTGTGCTCCGGCTGCTCTCTGCTCCTCTGTCCTGTGACTGTCTGTCCTCTCTGCTTCCGCTCCCGCTGCCCTCCAGACCAGCACCCGCCGGCCCAAGGTGAGCAGCCGGGGGGGCACCGAGCGTGGGGGGCACCGGGCACTGACAGCTCCGGGGTGCCAACCCCACTGAAACACAGCTCGTGGGGTGCCAACCCCACTGAAACACAGCTCGTGGGGTGCCAACCCCACTGAAACACAGCTCATGGGGTGCCAACCCCACTGAAACACAGCTCCGGGGTGCCAACCCCACCCAAACACAGCTCATGGGGTGCCAACCCCACTGAAACACAGCTCATGGGGTGCCAACCCCACTGAAACACAGCTTGTGGGGTGCCAACCCCACCCAAACACAGCTCATGGGGTGCCAACCCCACCCAAACACAGCTCATGGGGTACCAGTCCCACCCCAAACACAGCTTGTGGGGTGCCAACTCCACACAAACACAGCCCATTGGGTGCCAGTCCCACCCAAACACAGCTCATGGGGGTGCCAACCCCACCCCAAACACAGCTCATGGGGGTGCCAACCCCACCCCAAACACGGCCCATGGGGTGCTGACCCCACCCCAAACCTGGCCCATGGGGTGCTGACCCCACCCCAAACGTGGCCCATGGGGTGCTGACCCCACCCCAAACGTGGCCCATGGGGTGCTGACCCCACCCCAAACGTGGCCCATGGGGTGCTGACCCCACCCCAAACGTGGCCCATGGGGTGCTGACCCCACCCCAAACGTGGCCCATGGGGTGCCAGTCCTGCCATTGGTCCCCATTGTCCTTCCACCTGGTTACACAGAGCCCAGAGGGGCTCCTGGCAGTGCTGGGCTCCTGCTGGGCTCCTCTGGAGCGGGTCCAGATCCCTGGGGATCCCTTCCCTGGGAGAAATGGCCGTGGGAGAGCTCGGCTGGGGGAGCGGAGCGTGGAATCCGCGTGGCAGTGCCCAGGCTCTGCTGGGGGGTCTCTGCTGGGGGGTCTCTGCTGGGGGGTCCCTGCGGGGGTCGCTAATCCCTGACTGTCCCACCCTGTGTGGGGTGTTTTTCAGTGGGATCTTGAACCTTTCCTGTCAGAGGAGAGAGGGAAGAGCCCGAGGTGTCCTGCAGGGCTGTGTGGTTCCAGCCTGTGCTCGGGACCAGCAGGATTCACCTTGGGAAGGGGCTCGTGGCTGGAGGAGAGGAAACGTGGAGAGAAATCCTCAAAAAGCTCTGTAACAGTGGAGTTTGGGTTTGGAAATGGAGAATATTCTGTCTCCCCTGTGCTGGGGGAGGCTGCAGGAAGGGCTCCATCCTCCCTGGCTGCTCCTGGCTGATCCCATCAGCCCTGGGGCACTGGGATCCCGTCCCATTCCCTCGCTTTGAGTGGCTCTTGTTCCTGGTCTCTGTGCTGGGTGGAGCTCTGATGGGATGTCCTGTGGGACCTCCTGATCCTTTGGCCTCACACCAGCACTGGCAGGGGTTAGATGGAGTTAGGAGTTGGGATGGAGTGGGTTGGTTTGGAAGGGACCCAAAGCCCATCCAGTTCCACCCAAGGACACCTTCCACTATCCCAGGTTGCTCCAAGCCCTGTCCAACCTGGCCTTGGACACTCCCAGGGATGGGGCAGCCACAGCTTCTCTGGAAAATCCATTCCAGTGCCTCACCACCCTCACAGGGAGGAGCCTCTTCCCAGTATCCCACCTCTCCCTGCCCTCTGTGAGGGGTTTGTGGTCCCTAAAGCACCGGGAACACAAACATCCCTGGTTTGTGTCTGGGAGGAGGCACGTGGGGCCCGGTGCTGCTGAGCTGATTCCTGTTCTCCATCCCTGGGAGAGCCAGGATCACCCCAGGAGGGCAGGCTGGGCATGTCCAAGGGGCTCTGGACCCGCTGCAGTCGATTTAATGCCGATTTGCCTCTATTTTGGGAAAAATAAGGGCAGAGGGCGGGTGCTGCTCCTGCCCGGCTGTGTCCCTGCCCAGCCACGGGTGGAACGACACACCTGCTGAAACCTCGACAAATCCAATTTCCAGGAGTAAAATAAAGTCAGGAAATTTAATTTACACAGCCAGAGGTGAGTGCTCCAGAAACAGGGTCTGTGAGGAGACCAGCAGGGCCTGGGGGCACCCGGTGCTTCCCTTGGGCACCAGCTCCCCTTTTCCCATTCCTGGGTTCAGCCTTGGTGCTGGGTCCCAGTGATTAATTAACAGCCTCTTAAGCACTAATGAAGCAGCTCCAGGCCCTGGACTGTGGGAACTTACTCCTTGTTTGTTTTACCTTTGTTTCCTTAAAACTGGGTTCCTGTCTTGGTGAGCTCTGAGTTTTTGCTGTCTCACCCTCTGGAGCTGGGACTTTTAATCAAGGAATCCTGGAATGGTGTGGCTTGGGAGGGACCTTGGGGGTCATCCAGTGCCACCCCCTGCCATGGTGGCACTGGGACCAGGTTGCTCCAAGCCCTGTCCAACGTGGCCTTGGGCACATCCAGGGCAGGGGCAGCCACAGCTGGGCTGGGAGCTTCCCTTCCCCAGAGGATTATCCATGAATTGTGGCCGAGCCCGGCTCCTCTGGAGCAGTGTGGGGTCCCCCCTTCCCGGGGGTCACGAGTGGCACAGGCAGGGCTGGGTGTCCCCCCTGTCCCCTGCAAAGGGGTGTCTGGGCACCCCCTGGAGCAGCCCCGGGGAGGTGCCGGGGGCGGTGAGAGCTGCGGGATCCCTCCCTGGGGGTGCCTGACCCTCCCTGTGCTGTGTTCCCTCCCTGGGGGTACCTGACCCTCCCTGTGCTGTGTTCCCTCCCTGGGGGTGCCTGACCCTCCCTGTGCTGTGTTCCCTCCCTGGGGGTACCTGACCCTCCCTGTGCTGTGTTCCCTCCCCGGGGGTACCTGACCCTCCCTGTGCTGTGTTCCCTCCCTGGGGGTGCCTGACCCTCCCTGTGCTGTGTTCCCTCCCTGGGGGTGCCTGACCCTCCCTGTGCTGTGTTCCAGCCCACCCGCACCCCCACGGCCGGCGGGGCCGGGCCCTCGGGCTCAGCCTCGGCCTCGGGGGGGGAGATGAGCAGCAGCGAGCCCGGGACCCCCGCCCAGACCCCGCTGGTGGCCCCCGTGATCCCCACGCCCGGCCTGCCCTCCCCGGGGGCACCCCCCGTGCCCTCGCCCACCAAGGTGAGTCGTGCCAGGTGAGCCCAGGGCTCTCCCTCCTGCCTGGGGGTGCAAAGCCCACCCAGACAGCTCCAGTATTTCCCAAACTTGGGGGTTTCCAATGGTTACATCAGCAGAGTTATTCCTGCCTTGGTCTTTAAAGTCGTTCTTCATCACTTCTATCCTGGATTGATTAATTAATTAATTAGGGCTTGGGAGAGATTTGGGGCACGAGGGTAGGGAGGGAATAGTGGGAGAGGACAAGGAGCTGGTTCTGGGGTTGGGTACGGAGGGGAGGGGGCTGGAGAAGGCACCAGGGGGTGGGAAGAGGGGACATTCCCACCCATGTCCCCAGTTCCCTGAGCTCTCTGGGAACTGGTTTCTGTACCTGGGGGCAGAAATGGTTTTATTGGTGGTGCCACTGGCATCGGAGGTTCCAGGGCTGGGGAAGCACCAGAGGGGGAGTCTGGGGGGTTTCCCATGTTGTAGGGTTTTTCCAAGACCTGTTCCTTGCAGTCACTACCTTTGGGAGTTGAAGCTTTATCCACGAAGCTGCTGCCAGGGAGCAGGGTCACATCCCCTCATCCCTGCAGCCCTTCCCCTGGGTCCTGCTGTGCTGGCTCAGCCTTTCCCTGCCCGGAGCTGAGCTGCTGGAAAAGGACCTGGATCAGTTTTCCCTGGGGGCAGATCACCTGGGAGTGACCTGGATGCTGCAGTGGGATTGAGCAGGCGCTAGAGGAGAGTGCAGGGTCATCTCAGGGGGAGCCAGAGGCATCACTGCCAGGGATGGGGCAGCCACAGCTGCTCTGGAAGAATCCATTCCAGGGCCTCCCCACCCTCCCAGGGAGGAACTCCTTCCCAATATCCCATCTAGCCCTGCCCTCTGGCAGTGGGAAGCCATTCCCCCTTGTCCTGGCACTCCGGGCCCTTGTCCCTCTCTTAAACTGCCCCAGACTTGATGCCAAAAGTCAGGCCAGGTTCCACGGGGTTCCAGGAATGTCCCCAGAACCCCGTCCAAGGGATGTCCCTGCTCCTTTCCTAACTCTTGGCTTGCTGCTGCAGGAGGAGGAGAATCTCCGTGCCCAGGTCAGGGACCTGGAGGAGAAGCTGGAGACACTGAAGATCAAACGGAATGAGGACAAGGCAAAGCTCAAAGAGCTGGAGAAGTACAAGATCCAGCTGGAGCAGGTGCAGGAATGGAAGAGCAAAATGCAGGAGCAGCAGGCCGACCTCCAGAAGCGCCTGAAGGAGGCCAAGAAGGTCAGTGAGTGTCCCTGGGAGAGGGGCAGCGCTGGGAGAGGTGACTCCAGGGGGAATTCCAGCCTTGATTGCCTTTCCATGAGGAAATTTTCCCCGTATCCAACCTAAACCTCCCCTCATACAACCTGAGGCCACTTCCTCTGCTCCTGATCAGCGTCGGGTTTATTTGGGAATTGGGCTGAGGCAGGTGGGATGTTGCTTCCCCTCTTCCCTCTCTTCGGGTGCTTCCCCTCTCTCCAGGTGCTCCCTTTCCCCCCCTCTCCCCATGGACAGGTGTCCTTGTCCTGGCACCTGTGCCTGCAGTTCCCAGGACTCCATCCAAGCAGCCAAGGAGCATTTCCTTCTCCCTGCCCTGCTTTTCCAGGGTGGATTCCTGGTTTGTTTCCCTAAGGATTTATTTGTCTGCTCCAGTATTCCCTCTCTCCATGCCTTCATCCTCGCCTGGAGATGGTTTTCCTGCCAGGCTCTCTGTGGGTGGAGCAGGGAGGAGGGGAGTGGGACACCCCGGAGCGCTGCCCATGGGCCGTCCCCTCTCATCCCAGAGAAGCCGGTGTTGCTTGGATTTGACCTCGTCTGGGAGAGCCCCAGGGGACACTGGCGGCCTGAGGCCCGTTGTGGGGTGTGCCCAGGCTGTGCCGGGGTGCCCTGACCCGCTTGCCCCGCAGGAGGCCAAGGATGCCCTGGAGGCCAAGGAGCGGTACATGGAGGAGATGGCGGACACGGCCGACGCCATCGAGATGGCCACGCTGGACAAGGAGATGGCCGAGGAACGCGCCGAGTCCCTGCAGCAGGAGGTGGACTCCCTCAAGGAGAAGGTGGAATATCTCACCATGGACCTGGAGATCCTCAAGCACGAGATCGAGGAGAAAGGTGGGACGGGAGGGGGGCTTCGGAAAAGGTCCTGGAGGGACAGGACGGGGGGAATGGCTGCCCACTGCCAGAGGGCAGGGCTAGGTGGGATACTGGGAAGGAATTCCTCCCTGGGAGGGTGGGGAGGCCCTGGAATGCATTTTTCCAGAGCAGCTGTGGCTGCCCTATCCCTGTAAGTGTCCAAGGCCAGGTTGGAGCAACCTGGTCTAGTGGAAGGTGCCCCTGCCTGTGGCAGGGGTGGCGCTGGGTGGGAATTATGGTCCCTTCCCACCCAAAGCAGCCTGGGATGCTGTGATCCCATGGTTCTTCCCTTGCTCCGCAGGCTCTGATGGAGCAGCATCCAGCTACCAGGTCAAACAGCTGGAGGAGCAGAACGCCCGGCTCAAGGAGGCCCTGGTCAGGTGGGAGCCCAGCTCTGCTTCCCAAAGCTCCTTCCCAGGCCCCTCGTGCTCCCCCAGGCCCTCCCCGGAGCAGCCCGTGGAATTCCTGCTGATGGGCAGTGTCTGGGGAGGGAACAGGGCCTTGTCCCTGCCTGGGCCCTGACGGAGCTGTGGCTGTCCCAGGATGAGGGACCTGTCGGCCTCGGAGAAGCAGGAGCACGTGAAGCTGCAGAAGCAGATGGAGAAGAAGAACACGGAGCTGGAGTCGCTGCGGCAGCAGCGGGAGAAGCTGCAGGAGGAGGTGAAGCAGGCGGAGAAGATGGTGGATGAGCTGAAGGAGCAGGTGAGTCCTTGGGGAGGAGGTGGGAAGGGAGGTTTGGGGGCATTTGGGGCCCTTTGGGGCCATCTGGGGCGTTGAGCAGCTGCTGGGGCAGCTCCTGGAGAGCTGCACAAAGGGATGCCGTGGTGATACACCCCTGGTCCCATATTCCCTAATTCCAAGCCATATTCCAGCAGTGGGGCAGTGCAGGGCTCTGCCTGGCCGTGGGATGACTCCTGAGCACTGGGCATGGATGATGCTCCGTGTTCCCAGGGCTGCTCCATGTGGTCACTGTCAGCTGAGCTGGAATTCCAGCCTCGTGCCCTGAGCCACAGCCCAGGAGCCAGGAACAGCTCCAGGAGCCAAAGCCAAGGCTCTTCCCACGTGGGGCTTCCTCCTGGAGCTGCCAGCTGGTCTGGGTGGGTTTGCTCTCCTGAGGGATGCTTTTCCCTGCTCCCAGGAGGGAGCTGAGCACTGTCTGCCCTGCCCTCAGCCCAGGATGGGGCGAGGAGTTCCTCAGCCACGTGCCACAGCCTGGCAGAGACGAGGGAAGACAGGGACCCTCAGTATGAGAATCAGCAAGCTTCGTTTATTGATCATTGCTAACAGCTTAATATATGCTTTATAATTAGCTCATACATATTGCAAAAACTAAGCTCATTATTGGTTCTGCTTAAATGTTGATCTCATCCCTTACTCCCTTCCTTTGTTGACACAGGTGGTTCTCAGTTGCTTTTTGTTTTGCTAATCACAGTGTCCTGTTTACCAGCTAACTCACACGTACAAGGGCACTGTAACCTCGCTATCTAAGATGTTCCCACGGCCTAGGCAAGCCGTGTTCTATAGCCAATTCCCTACATCCCACGGCTGTGACAGGATTTGGGAGCTGCTGGCTGTGGTGCTGAGCTCCAGGATGGAGTGGGATGTGTGTCCTGGCAGGGGGATGGATTGGGAGGTGGATTTGGGTTGGGTTGCAGAGGGATGGATCGGCATGCAGGGCCAGTGTCACGGCAGGGGGGCGGGTTGGGGTGTGGATGTGGGTGTGGATTGGATTGCAGGTGGATGGATTGGGATGTGGATTTGGATTGGATTGCAAGGGAATGGATGTGAATGTGGATGTGGATTGGATTGGATTGCAAGGGAATGGATGTGAATGTGGATGTGGATTGGATTGGGATTGGATTGCAGGTGGATGCAGCTCTGGGTGCCGAGGAGATGGTGGAGACTCTGACGGAGAGAAACCTGGACCTGGAGGAGAAGGTCCGGGAGCTGCGTGAGACCGTCGGGGACCTGGTGAGGAGGATTCCCCGGGACGGGGCTGCTCCGGGGGTGGGAATGCTGGGAGGGCTGGGGACTGGGGACCTGGTGAGGAGGATTCCCCGGGACGGGGCTGCTCCGGGGGCGGGAATGCTGGGAGGGCTGGGGGCTGGCCCGGCACCGGAGCTGTGGGATCCGGGGAAGCTCCCCACGGGCTCGGGGCCCCAGGGTGTGAGCGTGTGCCCCTGCCCTCCCCGCAGGAGGCCATGAACGAGATGAACGACGAGCTGCAGGAGAACGCGCGGGAGACGGAGCTGGAGCTGCGGGAGCAGCTGGACATGGCCACGGGCCGCGTGCGCGAGGCCGAGAAGCGCGTGGAGGCGGCACAGGAGACCGTGGCCGACTACCAGCAGACCATCAAGAAGTACCGGGAGCTCACGGCTCACCTCCAGGTGCTGCCCCTCGGAGCCCCCCTGCTCGTCCCGGGGCCCTCCCGGCAGGAGCTCCCCAGGGAAGGTGTCCCTGGGGCAGGACAGGCGCTGCCTCCTGCTCCCGTGGGATCTGGGCACGGCAGGACACGGCTGGGGCCTGGGAGTGGTTCCTCATGGACCTTCTCTGGGAAAGCCCCCAGTGCATTCTCCTGTGGGGATAAGCTGGGAGAGCTGGGGGTGTCCAGCCTGTCCTCTCTCTCCAGGGAGACCTTGGAGCCCCTTCCAGTGCCAGGGGCTCCAAGAGAGCTGGAGAGAGACTTTGGACAAGGGCCTGGAGGGACATGGAATGCCTTCCTGCTGGAAAAGTGGAGATTTAGATGGGATACTGGGAAGAAATTCTTCCTGGTGATGGTTGTCCCAGCCCTGGCTTCAGGCCTCCTGGCAGGGAAAGGAGGCAGGGAATGAGCCTGGGCATTCCTTGGCTGTAGGACAGTGCCTGGAATGCACTCGGTGCCTCTGCCTCCCACCCACCCGTCACTGGGTGTTGCAGAAGGAGCCCCCCAAGAGGGGGCACTGGGAGGTTTGGGGGGGCTTGCTGGGGGTGTGGGGTTCCCTGTCTCTGTGCTGGTGTCCCCGTGTCCCACCGCCCCCTCCCTGTGCCCAGGACGTGAACCGGGAGCTCATGAGCCAGCAGGAAGCGTCTGCGGAGAAGCAGCAGCAGCCGCCCCCCGAGATGTTCGACTTCAAGATCAAGTTTGCGGAGACGAAAGCCCACGCCAAGGTAGGGAGAGCTGGGGGGGGCAGCCGTGCCCTGGGACGCGCTCCTGAGGTGCTGGCACCAGGGTGTTCCCAGAGCCGTGGCTGCCCCTGGATCCCTGGCAGTGTCCAAGGCTGGACAGGGCTTGGAGCAGCCTGGGCTAGTGGGAGGTGTCCCTGCCCGTGGCAGGGGTGGGACTGCGAGATCCCAGGCGGGGAGTGAGGCTTTGCCATGTCCTGGAGGAGCAGGATTGGCACTGCTGAGGAGCCGGGCTGGGCTGTGCCGGGGTGCAGAGCAGTTGGTGACGCCGTGTCCCCGCAGGCCATCGAGATGGAGCTGCGGCAGATGGAAGTGCAGCAGGCGAACCGCCACGTGTCCCTCCTCACCTCCTTCATGCCCGACAGCTTCCTGCGGCACGGCGGGGACCACGACTGCGTCCTGGTGCTGCTGCTCATCCCCCGCCTCATCTGCAAGGTGGGGCAGGCTGGGAGGGAACACCCGGGCTCTCTGTCCCGCCTGGAGCCGGGATTTGCAGTGTTTACCGGTGGAGAACTTCCAGAAGTTCATGGGAGACTGCAGTTCCCCCCCCGGTGGGGTTTAGGCTGGATATTGGGAAAATTCCTTCCTGGAGAGGATTGTAAAGCATTGGAAGAGGCTGCTGAGGGCAGGGGGGAGTCCCCATCCCTGGGGGGAATTCACAGCCCTGTGGATGTTGGTCATGGTCTTGGACCTGGGGACATGGTCAGCGGTGGCCTTGGCGGTGCTGGGGGAGCAGTTGGGCTTGATGGTCTTAAGGACCTTTATCCAACCCAAATAATTCCATGATTCCATGATTCTAAAGTGGTCTGGGAGAAGGGAGGGGGAGGAGGCAGGCCCTGCCCGTGGGGGTGGTGGTGCTGGTGGGTCACTCTTTCCAGGACCCGTCACTTTTGGGGCTGTGGAGGGGGTGTGGCTGCTCCGTGGCTGAGCACACGGAGCAGGGAAGCTCGGGGTGCCCTGAGGGCTCTCCCTGTGTGCCCCCAGGCGGAGCTGATCAGCAAACAGGCCCAGGAGAGGTTCGAGCTGAGCGAGAGCTGCGCGGAGCGCGCGGGGCTGCGCGGGGCCGCGGGGGAGCAGCTCAGCTTCGCCGCCGGGCTCGTGTACTCCCTGAGCCTGCTCCAGGCCACGCTCCACAAATACGAGCAGTGAGTACCTGCGCCCCCAGTGCCACCCCCACGGCCTCTGGGAGCCGAGTCGCAGGGCCTTGGGGGGCCGGGCTGGAAAAGAGAGTTGGGATCCCCCTTATTGCCTTGGGAGGGGTCACTTCTCAATGACCCTCCTTGTGTCCCCCCGAGAGGTGACATGGGAAGGGATTCTGGGAGCAAACCAGAATAGAAACAAGCAGCAGGATCCCCTTACTGCCTTGGGAGGGGTCAGTTCTCTGTGCCCCCCTTGTGTCCCCCCGGAGGTGACCCGGGAAGGGCCCAGCTCTCAGCACCCGCCGGGGCTCGGCTGTGCCTCTGTCCCAAGGCCAGCAGCACCTCGGGGCTCCCACTTCCCCTGTCCTGCCCAGAGGTGCACCCCAGCCCCTTTCTGACTGTCCCTGTGCCCCAGGGCCCTCAACAAGTGCAGTGTGGAGGTGTACAAGAAGGTGGGCACCCTGTACCCCGAGATGAGCGTCCACGAGCGCTCCCTGGACTTCCTGATCGAGCTGCTCCACAAGGACCAGCTGGACGAGACCGTCAACGTGGAGCCGCTCACCAAAGCCATCAAGTACTACCAGGTGGGGCTGGGGGACACGGGGACAGGTGCCACCTCACCTGTTGGGTGTCCTGCCCGGGATCCATCGCTCACAGGGCACATGGATCAGCTGGGCTTTGGCTCCTTGGCAGCCCTTTCCTTCGGGTGTCCTCACCCAGGACACCCAGGACTGGGGCTGTGTCCCCTGGGGCCGTGTCCCTGCACCGTGTCCCCGGGGATGTGGTTCTCCCATCCCACATTCCTGTACCTCACCTGCAGGCCAGGTTGGCTGACCTGTGGAATTAAGAACCACCTGCTCTTTTGGGGGGGTCTCTGGTGGGGTCACTGCACAAATTGTCACTTCCAGTTAAAAACTGGGCTAAACCCTCGAGGTTTGGGGTTTGTTGAGGGTTCTCTTGTTGGGTTGTTCTCCTGCACGTGTGGGAACAATCCTGCCATTCCCACAGCACCTGTACAGCATCCACCTGGCTGACCAGGCTGAGGACTGCACCCTGCAGCTGGCTGACCACATCAAGGTGAGAGGGGACCCCGACCCTTCCCTGATCCCTGGTCTCTGCCTTTGTGCCCCCCAGGATCCCTCTGGGAGCTGAGGTGCCCCTGCTGCCCCTTTCCCAGTGCAGTAGCTCTTCCCCAGTGGTGGCATGAGGGCTCTGGGGTCAGGAGGGGGGACATGGGGACAGGATGGATGAGAAGAGGGAGGGGAGCATGGAGACCCTCGTGTCTGGGGGGCAGGGTGTATCCCAGAGCTCCTGAAGGAATGATCACTGTTCTGCTCCCCACAGAGTGAAACCAAAATAGCCTGACTGCCTCAGCCCATTTCCCTGGGCCTGAAAATCCCAGGGTGGTGGGAGGGGCCATCCTGGAATTCCTGGGGCCCCAGTGTGCCCCAGTTTGCCCCAGTTTGCCCCAGTGTGCCCCAGTGTGCCCCAGTGTGCCCCAGAGCCCTCCCTGACCCATGCTCGTGCCCACAGTTCACCCAGAGTGCCTTGGACTGCATGGGGGTGGAGGTGTGTCGGCTCCGGGCCTTCCTCCAGGTAGGACCTTCCTCCAGGTAGGACCTGCTGGGAAGGCTGTGTGTGTGTGTGCCAGCTCCCTGCTGTCCCTGTGCCTGAGGTCCCTCTGTGTCCCCGTGCCCCTCTGAGGTCCCTCTGTGTCCCCATGTCCCTCTGTTCCTGTGTCCCTCTGACTGAAGTTCCTCCTCTCCCCTTTCCCCTCTAAGGTCCCTCCGTGTCCCTCTGAGGTCCCTCTCTATCCCAATGTCCTTCTTAGATCCCTGTGTGTCCCCATGTCCCTCTGTCCCCATGTCCCTCTGAGATCCCCGTGTGTCCCTGTGTCCCTCTGAGATCCCCGTGTGTCCCCGTGTCCCTCTGAGACCCCCGTGTGTCCCTGTGTCCCTCTGAGATCCCCGTGTGTCCCTGTGTCCCTCTGTCCCCATGTCCCTCTGAGATCCCCGTGTGTCCCCGTGTCCCTCTGAGACCCCCGTGTGTCCCCGTGTCCCTCTGAGGTGCCCCTGTGTCCCCAGGCCGGGCAGGAGGCAGCAGACCTGGCCATCCTGCTCAAGGACCTGGAGACGTCCTGCAGCGACATCCGCCAGTTCTGCAAGAAGATCCGTCGCCGGATGCCGGGCACGGATGCGCCGGGAATTCCCGCGGCCCTGGGCTTTGGAACACAGGTGAGCAGGGCAGGGACCCCCCTCACCACAGACTGGGAGCTGTGGGATGGACTGGGCAGCAGCAAACGCCCTGTGGAAGCTGAGCAGCAGCTCAGGGCAGAGGGAAATGGTGTGAGCTGAGCTGGGATCACGGAATCAGGGAATGGTTTAGGTTGGAAAATCCCGCTTAGTCCATTGAGTCCAGCCATTCCCCAGCACTGCCCAGGCCACCCCTGACCGTGTCCCCAAGTGCCACATCCACAGGGTGTTAAATCCCCCCGGGGATGGGGACTCCCCCCTGCCCTGGGCAGCTGTGCCAGGGCTGCACAGCCCTTTCCAGGAGGAATTTTCCCAGTATCCAACCTGAGCCTCCCCTGGCACAGCTGGAGGCCTTTCCCTCTCCTCCTGTCCCTTGTTCCCTGGCAGCAGAGCCCGACCCCCCCCAGATCCCCCCTCCTGTCAGGGGGTTGCAGAGCCAGAAGGTCCCCCCTGAGCCTCCTTTTCTCCAGGCTGAGCCCCCCCAGCTCCCTCAGCCCCTCCTGCTGCTCCAGCCCCTTCCCAACTCTGTTCCCTGGACACAGACGGACATGGTGTCTGTGGGCTTTGTGTTCCCAGCTGGGCTGGGGGTCTGGGCTCACACCTGCCTCTCTCCATCCCTCAGTTATTCTCCCCTATCCCGATGTTTCCCCCCTCCCAGTGACATTCCCTGAGCTGGGCAGGATCCCAGCCCGGGGGGAATTGTGTTCCCAGAGCCGTGCCCTTCCCTGCCATCCCGTTCCCTGTTGCCGTGCCCTTCCCTGCCATCCCGTTCCCTGTTGCCGTGCCCTTCCCTGCCATCCCGTTCCCTGTTGCCGTGCCCTTCCCTGCCATCCCGTTTCCTGGAGCTGTGCCATTCCCTGCCATCCCGTTCCCTGTTGCCGTGCCCTTCCCTGCCATCCCGTTCCCTGTTGCCGTGCCCTTCCCTGCCACCCCGTTCCCTGTTGCCGTGCCCTTCCCTGCCATCCCGTTCCCTGTTGCCGTGCCCTTCCCTGCCATCCCATTCCCTGTTGCCGTGCCCTTCCCTGCCACGCCGTTTCCCCGCAGGTGTCGGACACGCTGCTGGAGTGCCGCAAGCACCTCACCTGGGTGGTGGCCGTGCTGCAGGAGGTGGCCGCAGCCGGGGCCCAGCTCATCGCGCCCCTGGCCGAGACCGAGGGGCTGCCGGCCCCCCGCCTGGAGGAGCTGGCCTTCAAAGTCAGCGAGCAGGTGGGGCCGGGGGCGGCTCCGGGGCTCAGCCCGCTGGGAACGAGCCGGGAATGCCGCTGGGAAAGGCCAGGCGGGGGGTGCGGCCCCTGCCCGTGCTGTCTGTCCCTGCGGCTCCGGGGGATGGGGTGGAATTCCAGCCTGTGTGAGCAGGGCAGGGACACCACAGCCACAGACTGCAGCTGGGGGAGGGACTGGGCAGCAGCAAGTGCCCTGTGGAGGCTGAGCAGCAGCTCAGGGGAGCAGTGGGAGCTGGGCTGGGCTGGGGCAGTGGGAGCTGGGCTGGGATCTGTGAGCTGAGCTGGGATCTGTGAGCTGAGCTGGGATGGGGCAGTGGGAGCTGAGCTGGGATCTGTGAGCTGAGCTGGGATCTGTGAGCTGAGCTGGGATCTGTGAGCTGAGCTGGGATCTGTGAGCTGAGCTGAGATGGGGGCAGTGGGAGCTGAGCTGGGATGGGGGCAGTGGGAGCTGAGCTGGGATGGGGGCAGTGGGAGCTGAGCTGGGATGGGGGCAGTGGGAGCTGAGCTGGGATGGGGGCAGTGGGAGCTGAGCTGGGATCTGTGAGCTGAGCTGGGATCTGTGAGCTGAGCTGGGATCTGTGAGCTGAGCTGAGATGGGGGCAGTGGGAGCTGAGCTGGGATGGAGCAGTGTGAGCTGAGCTGGGATGGGGGCAGTGGGAGCTGAGCTGGGATCGGGGCAGTGGGAGCTGAGCTGGAATCTGTGAGCTGAGCTGGAATGGGGCAGTGGGAGCTGAGCTGGGATGGGGCAGTGGGAGCTGAGCTGGAATGGGGCAGTGGGAGCTGAGCTGGGATCGGGGCATCCTGGAATGGTTTAGGTTGGAAAATCCCTCTGAGCCCATCGAGTCCAACCATTCCCCAGCACTGCCAGGGCCAGCACCACATGGAATATCTCTTCCATATTCCCACATCCCATAGAGGGGAATGATTATGGGGGATTCTTGTAGGAAGTGAGAAGGTCCCCCCGAGCCTTGTTTGAGCCCCCCCAGCTCCCTCAGCCATTCCTGGTGCTCCAGCCCCTTCCCCAGCCCCTTCCCTGGACACGACGGATGTGGAGTCTCTGGGTTTTGTGCTGATTTTATTGTAATTGTGGTGAAGGGACAAGGGGTGGATTTTGTGTAAATTGCCCCACTTTGGTTCAGTGTTGGGATGATTTTGATGATTATTTTGATTTTGGTGGGGGGAATTTTTTTGGTTTGGTTTGGTTGGTTTTGTTGATGGAAGGGAAGGTGTGTGATGGGTGTGGATTTTAATGGTAATTCCTAAATATCAGAGGGACATTCCTGGACATCAGAGGGACATTCTTAAACATCAGAGGGACATTCTTAAACATCAGAGGGATATTCTTAAACATCAGAGGGACATTCCTGAGCATCAGAGGGAAACCCCGGCTGTGGGGTGTGGGAAGGGGGTTGTCCTGGGGGCTGTGAGCATGGCCCAGGGGTCCAGCCATGTCCTTCCCGCCCTTCCCAGATCTATGGCTCGCCAGGGATCAATCCCTATGAGTGCCTGAGGCAGTCCTGCAGCATCCTCATGGCCACCATGAACAAGATGGCCACGGCCATGCAGGAGGGCGAGTACGACGCCGACCGCCCGCAGAACAAGGTGGGTCCGGCCGTGCCCCGGCACCAGCCACGGGCCCTGCCCTGCCAGGAGGGACGTGGGCAGGGAGCTGGGATCCCATCCCTGCCATCCCAACCCGCCCTGTCCCGCTGTCCCAGCCCACGCCCCCGGCAGAGCTCCGGGCAGCCGCGCTCCGGGCCGAGATCACGGACGCCGAGGGGCTGGGGCTGAAGCTGGAGGACAGGGAGACGGTCATCAAGGAGCTGAAGAAGTCCCTCAAGATCAAGGTAAGGTGTTCCTTACTGGTCCCTGCCTGTTCCTTACTCATCCCTGCCTTCCTGGCTATTTGTCGCTAATCCCTGCCTGTTCCTCACCCATCCCTACCTGTTCCTCACCCATCCCTGCCTGTTCCTCACCCATCCCTGCCTGTTCCTCACCCATCCCTGCCTCCCTGGCTGCTGTGGGAGTCACCTCCCTGCTCAGGGTGGCTTGTTACCTGTGGAGCTGATGATCCCAAATCCCAGCCAGATCTCCTGGGGATGTTCTTCCTGTGGGCAGGGAGGTACTACCTTCCAGATCCTACCCAGGCCTCTCCCCATGATGTGTTGGGATGCTCAGGGTCAGACTGGGATCTGTTCCTGGGTTCCAGCCGTGGGTTCTGGTGATTTTGGGGCTCCCCCAGCTCCCGGAGCTCCCTGATTCCCTCCCTGCTGCTCCAGGGCGAGGAGCTCAGCGAGGCCAACGTGCGGCTTAGCCTTCTGGAGAAGAAGCTGGACAGCGCATCCAAGGATGCAGATGATCGTGTGGAAAAGATCCAGACGAAGCTGGATGAGACCCAGACACTGCTCAAAAAGAAGGAGAAGTGAGTGTGGGATGGGCTGGGGATGTGGAGCTGCTGGAGAGAGTCCAGAGGAGGCCCCGGAGCTGCTGCCAGGGCTGGAGCCCCTCTGCTCTGGAGCCAGGCTGGGAGAGCTGGGGGGGTTCCCTGGAGAAGAGAAGGCTCCAGGGAGAGCTGAGAGCCCCTGGCAGGGCCTGAAGGGGCTCCAGGAGAGCTGGAGAGGGACTGGGGACAAGGCCTGGAGGGACAGGACAGGGGGTCCTGGGCTGCAGCATCCCTGGCTCAGCCACCCCTCCGTGTGCCCTTCCCAGGGAGTTTGAGGAGACCATGGACGCTCTCCAGGCCGACATCGACCAGCTGGAGTCGGAGAAGGTGGAGCTGAAGCAGCGGCTGAACAACCAGTCCAAGCGGACGATCGAGGGGCTCCGGGGGGGCCCGGCCTCGGGCGTCGCCTCCATCGTGTCCGGCATCGCCGGCGGTGAGGGGCCGGAGCGGGAACGGGGACTCCTCGGGTGGGAAGGGTGCTCCCACAGCTGCCCTGGGCAGGCAGGGCAGGGGGCACCTCCATGGAGCCACCCGGGGTGTCCCTGCATGGGATGGTCCCTGGAGCCATCCGGGGTGTCCCTTTGGCAGGATGGTCCCTGGAGCCACCCGGGGTGTCCCTGCATGGGATGGTCCCTGGAGCCACCCGGGGTGTCCCTTTGGCAGGATGGTCCCATGGGATCCGTGCCTGCTGGGGCTCTCCTGGGCAGGGATGGGTGCTGGAGCTCTGCTGCTCAAAGTGTCTACAAAACCCCCCTGGAGCAGGAGCAGGTGTTTGGTGTCTGGGGGGCTCTGGCTGCAGGACAATGTGTGACCTCTGGAACAGAGCTGGGGTGTCCTTCAGGAATGACCAGGTGGCCATGGAGCAGCCTGGCCTGTGGCCCCAGTGTGGCAGGGACCTGGTGGGTCTGCAGCCTGAGCCTTTGGCCCTGATCTGGGATGGGTGACACCTGGGTGAGCATCCTCTGCATGCAGGATGCAGCATCCTCTGGATGCAGCAGCCCTGGGATACAGCATCCTCTGGATGCAGCAGCTCTGGAATACAGTATCCTCTGGATGCAGCAGCTCTGGAATACAGCATCCTCTGGATGCAGCAGCCCTGGAATACAGCATCCTCTGGATGCAGCAGCCCTGGAATACAGCATCCTCTGGATGCAGCAGCCCTGGAATACAGCATCCTCTGGATGCAGCAGCCCCTGTCCCTCCGCAGCCTCTCCCGTGTCCCCACATCCCCAGCCCTGGCTCCCGGGACACTGCTGGCACGTTCTCACTCCCAGAGGAGCAGGAGCAGCCCAGGAGCTCTGTGCCATTCCCCCAGGTCCTGCTGGGGTCACTCCCAGCTGCTGGGATGTTGCTCCCAGAGCTGGGAATGGGATGAGCCCTGGACGGGGTCATGGGGAATGGGAGCTGCTCCAGCCCCAGCTCCTTTCCCACCCAATCCAGGGCTTTAATCCTGTTTTTATTTGTCTCTCCCTGTGCTGCAGAGGAACAGCAGCGAGGTACAGACACACCCAGTGCATGAGGGGGGAAAGGTGTCCCCGGGTGCCCAAATCCCTGGGTTTGGGAGCAGGGGAAGGATCCGGGTCCTCCCCAAATGCTGCCTACCCTGGGAGCTGCTGGCTGGTGCCTCCCGGGAGACTGGGAAGGGAGGGATGAGAGTGGGACTGTGGTGGGGGCAGAGTGGGGTGACTCCCACCTGGAGAGCTGGGTCCCTGGAGCGCCTGGCACAGCCCCCACCCTCGGGAAGGGGCACTGGGAATGCTGAGGGGGGGGGTGTGCCGGGGACCTCTCCAGGGAAGTGCCACGTGTTGGGAATGGTTCTGTCGGTGCCTGGGCACACCTGGCAGCCGCCGTGTCCCTGTGCCCGGTGCCACCACCCCGGGTGACACTGGTGCCTGTCCCTCCCTCCCCTCCAGGTGTGGGTGCCGGGCAGGTGCCGGGGGGCGGCTCCGGCCCCGTGCAGGTGAAGGACTCTCCGCTGCTGCTGCAGCAGATCGACGCCCTGCAGCTCTCCCTGAAGCACCTCAAGAACGAGAACAACATGCTCAAGGTGGGGGGCTGGGCTCAGAGGGGTGGGGGGTGTCCAGGGGTATCATGGGATGTGGTCTGGGTGGGATGAGCCTGTGTGTCCAGGGGCATCCCTGGGTGTCCAGGGGCATCCCTGGGTGTCCCAGGCCTTCCCTGGGTGTCCAGGGGCATCCCTGGGTGTCCCAGGCCTTCCCTGGGTGTCCACAGGCATCCCTGGGTGTCCCAGGGCTTCCCTGGGTGTCCAGGGGCATCCCTGGGTGTCCCAGGCCTTCCCTGGGTGTCCACAGGCATCCCTGGGTGTCCCAGGCCTTCCCTGGGTGTCCAGGGGCATCCCTGCTCCCACCCCTGGGAGATCCACGCTCTGCTGGCTCTGGTGGAGTTTTATCCCCCAGTTTTCCGTTTTTATCCCGTTTTTCCACCCGGCTGCTCCTCGCAAACCTTTCCCTGGCATTCCCCGTGTCCCTGCCGCAGGGTGCCCAGATGAAGATGGAGCTGGCCAGCCTGGCCCCGCTGCAGGTGCCGCGGGTGGCCCTGCCCCGGGAGCGCCCCGGGGAGGGGCTGCCCACGCAGACCCTGTTCCGCAAGACCACCCAGCTCCTGGAGACCCTGTACCAGCTCAGCGCCAACGCCAAGGTGCTGGACATGAGGCAGAACAAGTCCAGTACGTCCTACACAGGCATTCCCGAGGGAATGACGGGGGGGCTGCGGCACGGGGGGCTCGGCCATGGGCTGGGGGCATCACTGCACCAACCTGAGCAGGTCAAACCCCCCAAATCCCCCCAGCACCAACCTGAGCAGGTCAAACCCCCCAAATCCCCCCAGCACCAACCTGAGCAGGTCAAACCCCCCAAATCCCCCCAGCACCAACCTGAGCAGGTCAAACACCCCAAATCCCCCCAGCACCAACCTGAGCAGGTCAAACACCCCAAATCCCCCCAGCACCAACCTGAGCAGGTCAAACACCCCAAACCCCCTGAAACCCCCCGGTAACAACCTGAAGAGGTCAACCCCCCCCCGTACCAACCCAAGGAGGTCAAAACCCAGCAATTCCAACCCCCCAAAAACCCCCAGTACCAATCTGAGGTCAAAACCTCCCCGAAGCCCCCCTGGGACCAACCTGAGGAGGTGAGACCCCCTCAAGCCCCCAGTACCCACCCCAAACCCCCCTCTGTACCAATTTGAGGAGTTCAAATTCCCCCAAGCCCCTCTGTACCCCCTGAGGGAGTCATGCCTGCCTTGCCATGTCCGTGTCCCACATATCCTGTGCCATCCCTGGTGCTATGTGTGTGTCCCATCCCATCTCACACCATCCCTGGTACTGTGTGTGTGTCCCATCCCATCCCACACCATTCCTGGTGCTGTGTCCCATCCCATCCCACACTGTCCCTGCACCATGTCCCTGTCCCATTGCATCCCACACCATCCCCTGTGCCGTGGCCCATCCCATCCCACACCGTCCCTGGTGCCGTGTCCCTGTCCCATCCCACACCATCCCCTGTGCCGTGGCCCATCCCATCCTCTCCCACACCGTCCGTGGTGCTGTGTCCCTGTCCCACACACCCCACACCATCCCTGTGCCGTGTCCCATCCCATCCCACACCGTCCCTGGTGCTGTGTCCCTGTCCCATCCCACACCGTCCCTGTGCCGTGTCCCTGTCCCATCCCACACCGTCCCTGTGCCGTGTCCCATCCCATCCCATCCCACACCGTCCCTGTGCCGTGTCCCTGTCCCATCCCACACCGTCCCTGTGCCGTGTCCCTGTCCCACACACCCCACACCATCCCTATGCCGTGTCCCTGTCCCATCCCACACCGTCCCTGTGCCGTGTCCCTGTCCCATCCCACACCGTCCCTGTGCCGTGTCCCTGTCCCATCCCACACCGTCCCTGTGCCGTGTCCCATCCCCTCCCGCACTGTCCCGTTCCCGCAGCCCGCAGTTCCTCGGCGCGCCTCCTGGAGCAGACAGCTCGGCTCTGCGCCCTCAAGAACACCATCGATGCCCTGAAGGTGAGGAGGGGCCTTCCCCAGGGTGGGGGCCCGGTGGCACCCCCTGCCCAGTCTCCCCGGGCCCCAGGCTGGGTGGGGGGGGGTCACATCTCAGGGCAGCCCCGTGGCTGGGCCTGGGGGCTTCTCAGTGCAGCCCCTTCCCGTTCCCGTTCCAAAACAGTCGGGTCTGATCCCTCTGGCTTGTGCCCGGGGATGCAGGGAGGGCAGGGGGCTCTCTGGGGTGGCAGGGGGTCTGTGGGTTGGGCAAGAGGCTTCCTGAGGCAGGGGAGGGCTCTGTGGGGCGGGTGAGGGGCTCCGTGGGGCAGTTGTGGTGGTGACAGTGCCGTCCCCCCCAGGATGACACGCTGAGGGAGATGGTGCAGCAGCAGCCGGGCGCCGGAGTCAGCACCACCTTCGGCACCTTCCCCTCCTCCTCCTTCCTCAAGGTGAGACCCTGATCCCCAGGGATCCCCCAAATCCCCAGGGACCCCTGATCCCCAGAGATACCCCAAATCCCCAGGGATCCCCATCCCCAGGGACCTCCATCCCTAGGGATCCCCCCAATCCTGAGAGCCCCCTGATCTCAAGGGACCCTTGTTCCTGAGGGATCCCCAGTCCCAAGGAACACCAACCCCGTGGGATTCCCCAATCCCGAGGAATCCTGACTCCAAGGAACCCCAGATCCTGAGGGACCCCAGTCCTAAGAGACCCCCAATCCAGAGGGTCTCTGATCCCAAAGGACCCCCAATCCTAATGAACCCCAGTCTCGAGGGAACCCCCCAATGCCAAGGCACTCCCGTTCCCGAGGGACTCCGATTCCCAAGGGATGGGGCGGGTCAGGACTCCCAGCTCCTCCCACGGGGCTCAGCCCGTCCCGGGGGTCGCGGGGGGGATGCGGTGGCTGGGTGGGCCCCCCGCGTGCGGGATGGGGGTGCCCGGGGTGCCTCACACCCTGTCCCGCAGGCCAAGCAGGAGCAGGCGCAGGGCCCGGCGCTGTGCGGGCGGGTGTCGTTCCCGTGCCCCCCGGGGCAGGGCCAGGCGCACCGGCTGCTGCTCACCCCGGACCTGCTGCAGCACCTCCGACAACACTTCGTCGCCTGAGAGTCCCCCGGAACGGGATGAGGGTCCCCTGCGCCCCCCCTCCGCCCCCCGGGGACCCCCCACTGCCTCCCCCGGCCCCACTCGCGGGTGGAGCTCGAGCCGCTTCCCCCGGGGGGATCCGGGACCCCCCCTCCTGCTCTCAGACACTACAGACCCCGGGATCCCCCCGGCTGGGGCCGTCCCGGGGGGGCCGGAGCCCCCCGCGCCCCCCTGTGCCCCGGGCCGGGGCTGCGACCCCCCCGCGCTCCTGCTCTCCAATAAAATGCCCTGAACCTGAACCCGCCCGCGGACCCTGCACCGGCACTGGGGGGGACACGGCGGGGACGGGGGTTCGCAGCACACCGGGGGTCCCAGGAGGGGTCCGAGAAGGACACTGGGGGGCCCGCGATGGGAGCGGGGGACAGTGGGGGCTCCCAGCAGGGGCACTGGGGGGCACAGGGGAATACTGGGGCAACACGGAGGGGTCCGAGGGGGGCACTGGGGACCACGGAGGGGGACTGGGAGGGCACTGGGGGGCACAGGGAGACCCGGAGTGGGACCAGAGCAGCTCTGGCCGTCTCGGGATGGGACCGGGGACAGTTGGGGTCCCGAGTGGGGGCACATTTGGGGTCTCATCTGGGGTCCCATTTAGGGTCCCAGGGTGACACTGGGGACACATTTGGGGTCCCACTTGGGGGTCGCGGTCCCGCCACGTGCGGCCGCGCGCGCGTGGAACCGCGCGGGAAGGGGCGGGGCCGGCGCGGGCGGCGGCTCCCATTGGCCCACGCGCAGGAAAGGGCGGGACGAAACGCATCTCCCCGAGTCTGATTGGCAGGAGCGGCAAAGGGAGGCGGGACCTCCCTGTCCTCAATCTGATTGGCTGCGGGGCGGATCCATCAGTGACACCCCTGCGGTGATTGGCGGTGGGTCGGGGCGCGGGCGCTGATTGGGGGCGGTGGAAGTGGGCGGGGTTCCGGTCTGTGTGGGGGCGGCATTTCCTGACGGCGGCGGCAGGAGGAGGAGGATGGTGAGGGCCGGGCGGGCCGCGCCGCATCCAGCGGCATCGGGGACGGGCGGGGACGGGGGGCCGCGGGGCCGCACCGGGATGGCGGGGAGCGGGGCCGGGCCGGGGGGAGCGGCGGGCGCAGGGCATGGGGGGCGCGGCCCCCGGTGAGCGCGGCCCCCGGTGAGCGCGGCCCCCGGTGAGCGCGGCCCCCGGTGAGCGCGGCCCCCGGTGCCGCCGCAGGTGCTGCTGCACGTGCTGTTCGAACATGCGGCCGGGTACGCGCTGTTCGCCGTGCGCGAGGTGGAGGAGATCGGGCTGCAGCTGCCGCAGGTACGGGGCGGGAGCGGGGACAGCGGGGAACGGGAACGGGGCGGGGAGCGGGGAACGGGAATGAGAACGGGAACAGGAGCGAGAAGGGGGGCGGGGAGGAACGGGAGCGGTGTATAAGAGGAGCGGTGTATAAGAGGAGCGGTGTATAAGAGGAGCGGTGTATAACGGGAGCGGTGTATAAGAGGAGCGGTGTATAAGAGGAGCGGTGTATAACGGGAGCGGTGTATAACAGGAGCGGTGTATAACGGGAGCGGGCAGCGGGAGGGCCGGGAACGGGAGGGAGTGGACCGGGATTGGGGGGACCCGCGGGGAGGAGCCGACCCCGTGCGGGGGGAGCGGTCCGTGTGCCCGGGGGGTCGCCCCCCGGGGCGTTCCCGCCTCCCGGATGACCCGGTGCCCGGCCCCCTGGCCGTGTCCCCCTGCCCAGGTGGAGGACAGTGTCCTCACGATCGGCAAGTTCCACAACATGGTGAAGCTCGTGGCGTTCTCGCCGTTCCGGTCGGCGCAGAGCGCCCTGGAGAACATGAACGCTGTGTCCGAGGGTGAGTTGGGGTCTGGGGGGCACAGGGACCCTCCCGCGGCCCCCCCTGATCCCCCGATGTCCCACAGGGGTCCTGCACGAGGACCTGCGGCTGCTGCTGGACACGGCGCTGCCCCCCAAGAGGAAGAAGGTGGTGCTGGGGGTGGGCGACGCCAAGATGGGGGCGGCCGTGCAGGAGGAGCTGGGGGTGCAGTGCCAGACCGGGGGCGTCGTGGCTGAGCTCATGCGGGGTGAGTGGGGACGGGGGACACCCCGGGGGGGCTGCCATGGGGCTGGGGGGGCCATTGGGGGTGTGCTGGGGGCTGTCCTTGGACCTGACCCTGAGCCGCACACAGTGACACCTCTGTCGCCGTGTGGTGGCACCTCTGCCCCTCCCTGTCCCCATGTGATGAGCCCTCTGTCCCCCACACAGGTGTCACAGGTGGTGACACCTGTGACACCCCTCTGCCCTGCATGGTGTCATCCCTGTCCCCCCACAGTGACCCCTTTTCCCTGCCTGGTGATGTCTGGGTCCTACACGGTGATAGCTCAGTTCCCACATTGGGTGACCCCTGCCCCCCCGGTGACCCCTGCCCCCCCGGTGACCCCTGCCCCCCTGGTGACCCCCGTTCCCCGGTGTCCCGCAGGGATCCGGCTGCACTTCCCGGTGCTGGTGCGGGGCCTCACGGCGCAGTCGGCGGCCAAGGCCCAGCTGGGGCTCGGCCACAGCTACTCCCGGGCCAAGGTGAAGTTCAACGTGCACCGTGTGGACAACATGATCATCCAGTCCATCAGCCTGCTGGACCAGCTGGACAAGGACATCAACACCTTCTCCATGCGCGTCCGGTGAGCGGGGAGGGGTCCGGGGGGTCTGGGGGTCCCGTCTCCCCTCGCTTACCGCAGGCAGCTGCTGCTCCGGCCGCCTGTACAGACCGGGGAGCAACAGCACAGCCCCCGGGGCCACCGGCCGGGCCACGGGCCATGGCGGGGACCTGGGGGGACATGGGGAACTGGGGGGGACATGGGGGGGCACAGGGACATGGGGGGAACATGGGGGGCCACAGGGAGATGGGGGAGCCATGGGGGGACACAGGGCCATGGGGGGAACATGGGGGGACACAGGGCCATGGGGGGACCATGGCGGGGAGCTGGGGGGACACGGGGACATGGGGGGAACATGGGGGGCCACAGGGAGATGGGGGAGCCATGGGGGGACACAGGGCCATGGGGGTCCGTGGGTCCGGGTGTGAGTGCTGAGCCCGTCCCTGTCCCGCAGGGAGTGGTACGGGTACCACTTCCCCGAGCTGATCAAGATCGTCCCCGACAACTCCCTGTACTGCCGGGTGGCCAAATTCATTGGGAACCGGCGGGAGCTGAGCGAGGAGAGCCTGGAGGGGCTGGAGGAGATCGTCATGGACAGCGCCAAGGCCCAGGCCATCCTGGAGGCCTCGCGCTCCTCCATGGGTGAGGGGGGCTCTGGGGGGGCACGGGGGTCACGGCTGTGGGGTCACGGCTGCAGCTCACCCCGTGCCCCCCCAGGGATGGACATCTCCCCCCTGGACCTCATCAACATCGAGAGCTTCTCGCGCCGCGTGATCTCGCTGTCCGAGTACCGGCGGGGGCTGCAGGAGTACCTGCGCTCCAAGATGAGCCAGGTGGCCCCCAGCCTGTCCGCCCTCATCGGGGAGGTGGTGAGTGTCCTGGGACCCCCGGCACCCCTCGGCCACGGAGATGATGTCAGAGTGAATCTGTCAATCCACTGAGCAGAGCTGCTGACACCTCACTGCTGATCCCTGGCCTGGGGGGGCTCTGTGTGCCCTGGGGTGGGCTGTGTGACCTGAGGGGGACTCTGGGTGCCCTGGGGGAACGGAGGGGGACCTCTGTGTGCTCTGTGGGGAGCTGCATGTGTGCCCTGGGTGAGGTCTGTTGTGTGCCCTGGGTGAGATCTGTGTGTGCCCTGGGGGGTCTGTGTGTGTCCCTGGGTTGTCTCTGTGTCCTGTGGTGGGCTCTCTGTGTGTGTGTGTGCCCTGGGTGAGATCTGTGTGTGCCCTGGGTGAGATCTGTGTGTGCCCTGGGTGAGATCTGTGTGTGCCCTGGGGGGTCTGTGTGTGTCCCTGGGTTGTCTCTGTGTCCTGTGGTCAGCTCTGTGTGTGTGTGTGTGCCCTGGGTGAGATCTGTGTGTGCCCTGGGTGGACTGTGGGAGCCATAACCCCCTGTGTTGCTCCCCAGGTGGGTGCCCGGCTCATCTCTCACGCCGGCAGCCTGACGAACCTGGCCAAGTACCCGGCGTCGACGGTGCAGATCCTGGGGGCCGAGAAGGCCCTGTTCAGGTACCGCCGGGTGGTCGCGGTGATGGCGGGGCCGGGGCCGCGGCTGTGACGCGCCGGGGCTGGCGGGGGTGAGCAGCCGGGCCCAGTCTGAGCGACCACCGCGGCTGCGGGGCCAGCCCGGGGCTCCCCGAGGTCAGCGGGGCTGGGGGGGCCAGGGGAGGGGAGGGGGCTGTCCCAGGGGCTGTCACACCCGGGGGGGCTGAGAGAAGGGGCTGTGACACTTGGGGGAGCTGAGAGAAGGGGCTGTCACACCCGGGGCTGACAGAAGGGGCTGTCACACCTGGGGCTGAGAGAAGGGGCTGTCACACCCGGGGGGGCTGAGAGAAGGGGCTGTCACACCCGGGGGGCTGTCCCAGGGGCTGTCACACCCGGGGGGGCTGAGAGAAGGGGCTGTCACACCCGGGGGGCTGACAGAAGGGGCTGTCCCATGGGCAAAGTGGGTGCTGCTGGCGGAGGGGGTGAGTGGGGGCTCTGTCTGGGGGTCCCTGACACCCCTGACCCCTCGCAGGGCTCTGAAGACACGCGGGAACACCCCCAAGTACGGGCTCATCTTCCACTCCACCTTCATCGGGAGAGCGGCCGCCAAGAACAAGGGGCGCATCTCGCGGTACCTGGCCAACAAGTGCACCATCGCCTCCCGCATCGACTGCTTCTCGGGTGGGTCGGGGGGCACAGGGGGTGGGACAGACCTGCCAACAAGGGCACCATCGCCTCCCGCATCGACTGCTTCTCGGGTGGGTCGGGGGGCACGGGGGGCACGGGGGGTGGGACAGACCTGCCAACAAGGGCACTGTCACCTTGTGCATCGACTGCTTCTCGGGTGGGTCGGGGGGCACGGGGGACACTGTCACTTTGTGCATCGACTGCTTCTCGGGGGCACAGCCGGGGTGGGGTTCGGGGCCGCTCTGCCGTGATGGTACCATTTTTCGTCAGCAGCATCTCACACCCGTGTGAATGGTGACTCCGTTGGGCTGAGCAGAGCCGGGGGGCGCAGGGGGCCTGCGGGGGTTCAGGGGGCAGGAGGGGGCTGACCCTGTCCCCTCCCCTCCCCTCTCCAGAGGTCCCCACCAGCGTGTTCGGGGACAAGCTGCGGGAGCAGGTGGAGGAGCGCTTGGCCTTCTACGAGACCGGGGAGCCCCCCCGGAAGAACCTGGAGGTGATGAAGGAGGCCGTGGTGGAGGTGAGCGGGTGTTGGGGGGCCATGGGGGTGGAGGTGCTGGGGATGAAGAGTGGTAGGAATGAGGGAGGAGATGGTGGGGGTTGAGGTACTGGGGGGAGGAAGAAGGTGGAGGTGAGACTGCAGGGAGGGGTGGAGGTGGGGGGGGCTGCAGGGGCGATGGACAAGGATGTGGAGAGGAAGTGCTGGGGGGATGGAGAGGGAGGTGGATGTGCTGGGGGGTGGAGGAGGCGGTGATAGTGGTGAGGTGTGAAGGTGAGGGCCCGTGGTGTCGGAGGTGATGTCACTGTGCCAACCTGACCCGCTGTGGAGGCAAAAGACTGATTTAATGAGTCTGATCCGACCAGTGCCGGGGGTGGAGACGGGCCCTGGGACCCTCCCCACGCTGATGCCCCCCATGTGTCCCCCAGGCCAACGAGGTGGTGGCTGAGGTGAAGAGGAGGCAGGAGAAGAAGGAGAAGAAGAAGAAGAAGCGGGAGAAGCGGCGGCTGGAGGCCCTGGCAGCGGCGGCCGAGGAGGCAAAGGAGGAGAACTCGGTGATGGAGACAGAGGTGAGGAGGGGGCTGGGGGTGGGACCCTCATGGGGAGCCGTGGGGTTGCCCAGACCCCACAGGGTGGGGGAGGCAGGATGGGGGGCAGAGCTCCCCCTGACCCTGGGTCTCCCATCAGGAGAACGATGTGGGGGCCAAGAAGAAGAAGAAAAAGAAGAAGCAGCAGGCAGAGGAGTTGGAGCCAGAGGCTGAGCCAGAGGAGAACGGGCTGGAGGAGGAGGAGGAGGAGGAGCAGCCCCTGCCCAAGAAGAAAAGGAAACTCACAGTGGAGCCTGAGCAGGAGGAGGAGGAGGAGAAGAAGAAGAAAAAGAAGAAGAAGAAGAAGGCAGTGGCCCAGGACTTGGAGGAGGATTAGGGAGCAGGGGCTGGAGCAGGAGCTCCAGCACAGGGACAGATGGACTGAGAGATTGAGGGACAGGAGGAGCTCGGGGTGGCCCCTTGCTGTGTCCCTGCAGTGTTCTGGGCGTGTCCTGTGGCACAGTGGCCACACTGAATGAGCTGTGGCCCCTGAGGGCCTGGGTGAGTCCTTTGGGCACCGGCAGCCCCTGGGCTGTGCCTTACAGTGTTGCCCCAGCTCCCTGTGTTCCTTCCCCGGGGGGTTTGGGTGCATGTGGGGTGTCCCTGGGCCGTGTCCCCTGCCCTGGGGGGCTTGGGCTGTGTGTGGCCCTGTCCCCCCTGTGCCGTGCAGGGGGCAGGACCTGCTCGGACTGACCAGGCCCCAATAAAGGGCTGAGGTTGTTGTGTATCCCTCCTGTCCTGGTGTGTGCCAGGGGGTGCCCTCGCTCTCCCCTCTGGCACAGGGACACGATGGCACCGTGGTCACGCCTGAGGCCACTTTATTGGAGGGAAGGAGTGATTTACCAGGTGGGCAGGGCAGGAGCCGGGAGGGCACCACCCCGGGCACTACCCCTCCAGGGCAGCTATCACGGCCTGGGTGAAATCCAGGGAGGTGGAGTAGCCCCCCATGTCCGCCGTGCGCACCTGCAAGGAGAGGGGAGGGTTAGGGAGGGGGAGGGACCCCGGCAAAGGGACCCCCAGCCCCAGCCTGGGCAGTGCCGTGGTGGGACAGGGGCCCTCGGCAGCCCCCAGACTGTCCCTGCACCCCAGGGGCTGGAGGGGGAGCCGTGGGGACACAGGGAGAGGCTGAAGCCCCCCCATGCCCCACAGAAGGCGGGGGGCATCAGACACCCCAAACTGGGTGCCCACAGGCACTGTAGACTCTAGTTCCAGCACTGCCCCCCTATTGCAGAGCAGCCCCTCCCCAGGCAGAGCTGCTCCCCAGGAGGGGATGGGGGAGCTGAGGCTGAGCCCCCCTCTCCCCCCAGCCCAGCACCCCCCAGGCTGTGACCCCCCGGGCCGGAGGGAAGCGTTGGACCCTTTATTAGCAAGCAGGAGTTACAGAGCACAGCACAATGACAGCCCAGCTCCCACCCCACAGCAACCCCAGGAGCCACAGGGACCCCTGGGCTCACACTGGGGCTGGTCCCTGGTCCCAGGAGCCACAGGGCCCCCTGTCCCTGTGCCAGCAGCAGACGGGGGGAAGGAGGGTGGGGGAGCCCTGTGGTCCCGTTTATTGCTTAAAGCTTCATGGGAATGGTGGTCCCACAGTGCCGGGGGCCCCATGGGAATGGTGGTCCCGTAGTCACGAGGGGCCATGGAATGGTGGTCCCACAGTACTGGTGGTCCCAATGTCCCTGGAAGCTGCCTGTGCGTTTGGGGCACTGCCCCGTCCCCCCCTGTCACCCCAAAGGCCCCTGAGATCCGCCCTGGCCTCCCATGGAGCCATCCCTACTGGGGGAACTGGGAGTGGGGGGACGGGGTTACTGGAGGTACTGGGCTGGGCAGGGGGGAGCCCCCATTCTCCCCGGGGGGCAGGGGGGGCCGGGGAGGGGTTTGGGGGGGCCGAGGCGCTGTGGGGCTGCCGGGGGGCCTAAGCCCCGTAGTGGGGGTGCAGGTTGTCAATGACGGACTTGACGAAGTCGGAGGTGGTGGAGTAACCGCCCAAGTCCCGAGTCCGGACCTGCAAATCCAACACAGGGAGGGGAGAAACGGGGAAACTGCTGGTGAACGAGGGAAACAGCTCCCAGAGGGACAGGAGAGGAGAGAGAGGAGCCCCTCGAGTGCCCTGGGGATGGAGCCATGGAGGGGCCCTTGAGCGCCCTGCTAGGACTTGGGGTGGGGAAAGGCCATGGAGGGTCCCCCAGCCCTGCCAGGACCTGGGGTGGGGAGAAGGCCATTGAGGGTCCCCCAGCCCTGCCAGAGGTCCCTCCCTTGCCAGCACATGACCCCGGGGACAAGTGCAGGAGAGAGGAGAGGAGAGCAGCCAGGATTCCAGCTGGAAAGAGGAAAGGAGCCAGGATTCCAGCTGGAGAGGAGCCAGAATTCCAGCTAGAAGAGAAGAGGCGCTGGAATTCCTGCTGGGAGAGGAGCTGGAATTGCAGCTGAAGAGAGGAGAGGAGCCAGAGCCCCGCCCAGGACACAGAGCAGAGTGACACAGAGCCCTGCCCGACCCACCGCCCCACACTCACTTTGCCGCCTTTGATCACCTTCTTCACCGCGTCCGAGATCACGTTGGAGTGGTGTTCCAGGCTGGGGAGGGGAGGGCAGTGGGTCAGCCCCCTGCAGCCCCCCTGCAGCCCCCCAGCAGCCCCCAGGCCCGGCCCAGCACGTACTTGAGGTGCCGCAGCATGTTGGAGGCCGACAGCAGCATGGCCGTGGGGTTGGCGATGTTCCTGCCCACGGCCTGGGCGAAGGGGTGCCGGGCACCCTGCGGGACAGAGGCCACGGTGAGGGGCCCCGTGCCACCCCCGGTGTCCCCGGGACCCCCCAGCCCCCCAGCCCAGCTCACCAGCTCGAACACGGCGTACTCGGCGCTGTAGCTCTCCCCGGGCACGACGCCCGCGCCGCCCACCAGCCCCGCCGCCAGGTTGTCCACGATGTTCCCGTACAGGTTGGGCATCACCAGCACGTCGAACTGGTACGGGTTCTGCACCAGCTGGGGGGTACGGGGGGCACGTGAGGCCCTGCACGCCTGGGGCAGCTCAGCCCACCCCCGGGACACGGCAGGGGGGGCAGAACACAGGGGGGCCTGGGGGGCTGGGTGAGCTCCAAGGTCTCCTCCAGAGCCCAACAGAGCTCCAGGAGAGCTGGAGAGGGATTTGGACAAGGGATGGAGGGACAGGGCAAGGGTCCAGGTGCAGCTTTCGGGGTTCCAGCTCCTGGGGGAGCAGCGGTGGGTGGTGCAGGAGGGCTCAGGTTTGGGGGGCTCACCTGCATGCAGCAGTTGTCGATGATCATGGTGTCGAATTTGATCTTGGGGTACAGCTCTGCCACCTCCTTACAGCACTGCAGGAACAGCCCGTCCCCCAGCTTCCTGCAGAGGGCAAACACCAGGAAGGGTTGGTGGGAAACAGGGGAATGCTTACAGCACCAGGTGCCCAACAGGAACTGCAGGTGCCCAACTGGAACTGGGGTCTGTGATAAGAGCTGGGGCTTCTGGTGCTGCTTTGTTCCTCCCCACCCAGCCCCTCTCTCCCTTTCTGCCACCTCTGAGAGGAATGTGGTTTGTGCCAGGTAAACACACCTGGAAGGACTTGGAGAGCACCATTTCCTGTCTGAAGCACTGTCAAGGCCACAAAAGGAACCTCCCAGGAGATAAAGCAGCACGGCAGGAACTTGAGGTAAGCACAGATGGCAGGAATTTACACCAGGAAGGTGCTAATTCCAGGTTTGGTCAGTTAATGCATCCCGTCAGATTCCCACATGGCAAACTGGGAAAGGAACTGACTGCTCACACACGGCACCCCAAGTCCTAGAGCATCCATGACCTCCCTGTCAGAGCTTGGGCTGTCCCCAGGTGGGAGAGGACAGCTTTGTTCTGGAGCTGCTGCACCGACCCCAGTTACCAACACCAGCTCAGCCCCAGGTCCGTGTCCCGCTCGCTGCAGGCCCTGTGACACCGCTGCCATCACACACCAGACGGGACCCCAGGGGTGTCCCCCGCCCCAGGGGCAGTGGTGTCCCCAGGCACTCACATGATGTTGGCCTTGTGCACGGCCGTGACCTTGGCCCGGCCCTTCTTGGTGGCGTAGTCGAAGGCGAACTTGGCGATGCGCTGGGACTTGGCGCGGGTGATGATCTTCAGGCACTCGATCACCCCCTTCACGCTCTGGGGGCACAGGGGTCACACGGGGGTCACACAGCACAGCCCCCCAGCAGGTCACTCTGGGGGCACAGGGGGTCACACACAGCACAGCCCCCCCAGCCCCCTCAGTGGGTCACTCTGGGGGCACAGGGGTCACACGGGGGTCACACACAGCACAGCCCCCCAGCGGGTCACTCTGGGGTCACATGGGGGGTCACACACAGCACAGCACCCCCAGCCCGTCACTCTGGAGGCACAGGGGGGTCACACGGGGGGTCACACACAGCACAGCCCCCCCAGCCCCTCAGCGGGTCACTCTAGGGGCACAGGGGGTCACACGGGGGTCACACACAGCACAGCCCCCCCAGCCCCCTCAGGGGGTCACACAGGGGGTCACACGGGGGGTCACACACAGCACAGCCCCCCCAGCCCCTCAGGGGGTCACTCTGGGGGCACAGGGGTCACACGGGGGTCACACACAGCACAGCCCCCCCAGCCCCTCAGCGGGTCACTCTGGGGGCACAGGGGGTCACACACAGCACAGCCCCCCCAGCCCGTCACTCTGGGGGCACAGGGGGTCACACAGGGGGTCACACACAGCACAGCCCCCCAGCAGGTCCCCAGCACCCCCTGGCTCGGGCTGGACAGAGTTCTGTCCCCAACAGCTGGGATTTAGGGTGAGGATGATGATGGCAACAGGCAGATGTCGTGGGGGTCGCTCGCCCCAAATTAAGGACATTTCAGTGCCCCCCCTGTGCCAGGGCACGAGAATCTGGGGGAGGACTGGCCAAAGGGGGGTCCCAGCTCACAGAATGTCCTGCCCAGGACAGAAACTGGGGGAGGCAGTTACTGCTGGGCACTGGTCAGTGGGTGGTGGGAGAGTGACCGGGCATCACTTGTTCCACCTGGGGTCCGTTCATCTCCCTCTCCTTATCACTGTATTTATTATATTGCATTTATGTAATCTATTATGTATAATGTATCATTGTCTGTATTATTCTTGTATGTATATTATAACTGTATTAACAATATTTATATTTTAGTACTAGTAGTTAGCCTGAGTATTGCTGCTCTTATTATTTTGTTTCAATTATTAAATTTTTCTTATCCCAACCCACGTTCACCTTTTCTTTCCTGTTCTCCTCCCCCTGGGGAGGGAGAGGGGGGTCCTGAGGGCTGGGGTTGACCCAGGACAACATCATGTCCTCTTGTCCCTTTTTTCTCCTGCAGCCCCCCCCTCCTCCCTGGGGCTGGGTGTGTCCATATCCCTAAAAACTCCTGTAATTCCATCACTGCTGCTCCGGGCGCTTCCACACTGTGCTCAGCATGGAATCAGGGAATCGTGGGATGGGATGGGTTGGAGAGAACTAAGAGCTCCTCCAGCCTCACCCAGGGACACCTCCCACTATCCCAGGGCTTGGACACTTCCAGAGATCCAGGGGCAGCCACAGCTTCTCTGGGAAATCCATTCCAGGGCCTCCCCACCCTCCCAGGGAGGAATCCCTTCCCAGTATCCCACCCATCCCTGCCCTCTGGCACTGGGAGCACATGTCCCTCCATCCTCGGCCCCAGTCCCTCTCCAGCTCTCCTGGAGCCCCTTTAGGCCCCGGAAGGGGCTCCAAGGTCTCCCTGGAGCCTTCCCTTCTCCAGGCTGGCCCTTCCCAGCTGTGCCAGGCTGGCTCCTGGCCCCGGGCAGTGCCCACCCGGGCAGTGCCCACCCGGGCAGTGCCCACCTCGGCAGTGCCCACCCCGGCAGTGCCCACCTCAGCAGTGCCCACCCCGGCAGTGCCCACCCTGGCAGTGCCCACCCGGGCAGTGCCCACCCCGGCAGTGCCCACCCGGGCAGTGCCCACCCCGGCAGTGCCCACCTCAGCAGTGCCCACCCCGGCAGTGCCCACCCCGGCAGTGCCCACCTCGTGCTCCAGGGAGCTGTACTCGCCCTCGGTCTGCTCGCGGATGATCACCAGGTCCAGGTTGTTGTGCCGGGTCTGGTACCCGGGCAGGCTCTTCACGTGCACCACGTTGGCAAACAGGTCCAGCTTCCGCCTGGCAGGGAGGGCAGGGCTGGGCTGGCACACGGGGACACCCCCGGGACACCCCCGGGACACCCCCAGGACCCCGGGGCAGCGGGGACACAGCGGGCAGGGTCACTCTGGGCAGGGTCACTCTGGGCAGGGTCACACCCAGCAGGGTCACAGCGGGCAGGGTCACTCTGGGCAGGGTCACACCGGGCAGGGTCACTCTGGGCAGGGTCACACCGGGCAGGGTCACTCTGGGCAGGGTCACTCTGGGGCAGGATCACAATCAAACCGTTGCATGTCACTCTGGGCCAGGGTCCACTCTGGCAGGTCACTGGGCATGTTCACACCGGGCAGGTCACTCTGGGCAGGGTCCACCGGCAGGGTCACTCTGGGCAGGTCCACAACACCGGCAGGGTCACTCTGGGCAGGTTCACTCTGGCAGGTTCACTCTGGCTGGGTCACAACACCGGGCAGGGTCACTCTGGGCAGGGTCACTCTGGGCAGGGTCACACCGGGCAGGGTCACTCTGGGCAGGGTCACAGCGGGCAGGGTCACTCTGGGCAGGGTCACAGCGGGCAGGGTCACACTGTGCAGGGTCACTCTGGGCAGGGTCACACCGGGCAGGGTCACTCTGGGCAGGGTCACACTGGGCAGGGTCACTCTGGGCAGGGTCACACCCAGCAGGGTCACTCTGGGCAGGGTCACTCTGGGCAGGGTCACACCCAGCAGGGTCACACCGGGCAGGGTCACTCTGGGCAGGGTCACACCCAGCAGGGTCACTCTGGGCAGGGTCACAGCGGGCAGGGTCACTCTGGGCAGGGTCACAGCGGGCAGGGTCACTCTGGGCAGGGTCACACCGGGCAGGGTCACTCTGGGCAGGGTCACACCCAGCAGGGTCACACCCAGCAGGGTCACACCCAGCAGGGTCACACTCAGTTATGAGTAATTAACAGGGATTTCCCAGTAATTGCACCCAATAACTCAGTAATTATCAATTAATAGGGCTTTCCCAGTGATTATCTCCAATAACTCAGTAATCAGTAATTAATAGGGCTTTCCCACTGATTGTCCCCAATAACTCATTAATTACTAATTAACAATTATGAATTAATTATTATTTAATTACTAAGTAATTGATCCAGTGATTATCCCCAATAACTCACTAATTAGGAACTAATAGGGGTTTCCCAGTGACTGACCACAATAACTCAGTAATCATTAATTAATAGGGCTTTCCCATGGATTGCCACAATAACTCATTAATTACTAATTAACAGGGTTTTCCCAGTGACTGTCCCCAGTAACTCAGTAACAACTAATTAATAGGGCTTTCCCACTGATTGTCCACAATAACTATTAATTAATAAGGCTTTCCTAATGGTTGCCTCCCATAACTCATTAACTAGGAATTAACAGGACTTTCCCACTGATTGACCCCAGAAACTCATTAATTAGGAATTAATAAGTCTTTTGCAGTGACTGACCCCAATATCTCAGTAATTATTAATTAATAGGGCTTTCCTAGTGATTGTCCCCAATAACTCACTAATTATTAATTAATAGGGCTTTCCAAATGATTGTCCCCAATAACTCATTAATTAGCAATTAATAGGGTTTTCCAAATGATTGTCCCCAAAAACTCATTAATTATTAATTAATAGGGCTTTCCTAATGATTGCCCCCAATAACTCATTAATTACTAATTAAGAGGGCTTTTCCACAGATTATCCCCAATAACTCAGTAATTAGGAATTAATAGGGCTTTCCTAGTCATTGTCCCCAGTAGCTCAGTAATTAATAATTAATAGGGCTTTCCCAGTGATTATCCCCAATAACTCACTAATTACTAATTAAGAGGGCTTTCCCACTGATTGTCCCCAGTAGCTCAGTAATTAGGAATTAACAAGGTTTTCCCACTGACTGCCCCCAATAACTCATTAATTAGGAATTACTAGGGGTTTTCCCTGTGATTGCTCCCATTAACTCACTAATTAATAATTAATAGGGCTTTCCCAGTGAATGTCCCCAATAACTCATTATTAATTAACAATTATTTATTAATTATTTATTAATTATTAATTAATTGATTGATCCAGTGATTATCCCCAATAACTCAGTAATTAGTAATTAATAGGGTTTTTCCAGTGACTCACCTCAACAACTCACTAATTAATAATTAATAGGGGTTTCTCAGTGACTGGCCACAATAACTCAGTAATTAGGAATTAAGAGGGCATTCCCATGGATTGCCACAATAACTCATTAATTACTAATTAAGAGGGCTTTCCCACTGACTGTCCCCAATTACTCAGTAATTAATAATTAATAGGGCATTCCCAGGGATTATTCCCAATAACTCATTAACTAGTAATAGGGCTTTCCCACTGATTGACCACAAAAACTCATTAATTACTACTTATAGGGTTTTCCCAGTGATTATCCCCAATAACTCAGTAATTGGGAATTAACAGGGCTTTCCCCCTGACTGTCCCCAATAACTCATTGAATAGTAATAGGGCTTTCCTACTGACTATCCCCAATAACTCACTAATTACTAATTAAGAGGGCTTTCCTACTGACTATCCCCAATAACTCACTAATTACTAATTAAGAGGGCTTTCCTACTGACTATCCCCAATAACTCACTAATTACTAATTAAGAGGGCTTTCCCAGTGATTATCCCCAATAACTCACTAATTACTAATTAAGAGGGCTTTCCCACTGATTATCCCCAATAACTCACTAATTACTAATTAAGAGGGCTTTCCTACTGATTATCCCCAATAACTCACTAATTACTAATTAAGAGGGCTTTCCTACTGACTATCCCCAATAACTCACTAATTACTAATTAAGAGGGCTTTCCTACTGACTATCCCCAATAACTCACTAATTACTAATTAAGAGGGCTTTCCCACTGATTATCCCCAATAACTCACTAATTACTAATTAAGAGGGCTTTCCCAGTGATTATCCCCAATAACTCACTAATTACTAATTAAGAGGGCTTTCCCACTGATTGCCCCCAATAACTCACTAATTAGGAATTAACAAGGCTTTCCCACTGATTGCCCCCAATAACTCATTAACTAGGAATTACTAGGGGTTTTTCCCTGTGATTGCTCCCATTAACTCATTAATTAGAAATTAATAGGTCTTTCCTAGTCATTGTCCCCAGTAACTCATTAATTAGGAATTGACAGAGTTTTCCCAGGGATTGCTCCCAATAACTCACTAATTAATAATTAATAGGG